CTATATGTGTATGTTGAAATTGGATGGTTATGCAAGTCTCGAACGTATATCTAAACGTAACTACGCTGCTTTCTCTCTCTCTCTTAATGATACTATATCTCGGAGAATTGAATTATGCCAATGCAGCAGCTTTCATGCATGCGAGCGAAAGGGTAGATTCTTTTTTTTTCCATCGCGCAGCAGCGCACGCGTACCCGACCGCTGCGTACACGTGTACGCGTGTCTCTTTTTCCGGCCGAAGAGAGAAAAGTTGATTCCGATGGAGTTTTTGATTCAATAGCAAGCGGCAAAGTTTCAAATCTAATCCGCTCTTGCTGTGTTACATTGTAAATTGTAACAAAGAAAAAGTCCATTTTTCTTTGGCGTTACGCGAGTGAGTTTATGTTTCGTATAAGTTCTCAACGCGACGATATAAAGGGTGAGGTAGGGAAAAATAAATTGAAAAATCCCGTAATGATCAGTCGGAGAAAGCTGTTATCGATTTCGAGAACGTAACGTAATACTTACATAATGTTTTCTCTCTCTCTCTCTCTCTCTATACAAGTGCATGCTTTGGATGATTCATCTTCTCTCGTTACGAAGTCGAGAAGAAGTTTCGAAGCTCGGCTTCCTTGGCGCGTCTACTTATTGAAAGCTGCGATTTCGATTACAAAATCCCTCTCGGTCATTAATTAATTTGTAAGATTACCCCGAAGCGAGAGGAGGTGGCGGCGTGCTCGGCAACGCGTTCGAAAAAGCTCGAAACAATATAGAGACTCGCTGAGCTTGCAATCCGCTTAAACGAACGCAAGCGGAATAATCAAAACGTTGTCCCGTATTCTTTTGTCACTGCACATGCACACAGACACATACATACACACGCACACGAGTACACAAAACGTATTCATACATATTGATTTGTAACTGCTGCCATTTATGTGTGTCGCTAGACTGGCAGCAGAGAGCAGATCGCGGACAGAGCGCATACACACAATAGCCTGGCACAATGGCAAAGATGTGTAAGCATAAAATTCAAAGTGCGCAAACGTGACGATTTTGCACGTTCTCGCTGGGCGCAGCAGCAGCAGCACAAGCGTTAATCTAAGTCATTCTTCGAAGAATTCCGTGTGACAGCTCGTCAATCGAGCTGCTGCTGCTGCTTCTACTCTTCTTTTTTATTAAGTTATTACAGGTTGAATATATAGACTGCTCGCTCGCGAGCTGATTGAAACAATAGAAGGTCTGCTGTATTCTGTATACGTGCTATATACTACCTGTCGCTGCTGCAATGATGAACATCGAGCGGTACACGTTGAGATGCGCCCTTTTATGCTCGGCGGCAACTAAAGCTCGTAACTTTCCGTTGTCGCGTCGCGCGCGTTTCATCAACTTTAGCCGAGGCGAACATTATACGTATATACACGCTCGATGTCTGTGCGTGTAAACTGCCTCGCACAACTTATTAGTTATATTGGCATAATAATAATTTTCTATAGCGAGCACACCCGTCCAAGTTTTCAGAGCCACGTCTGCGCAATATTAATTAGATTTTTTACCCTCCTTTGTCGCTGCAGCTTTGTGACGAATATTAGCGATCTACTGAATAATTCACTGCAAGCTAACGTCCATCGTTGAATTTGGTCGAATTTTAAAGACGAGACTGAGGAAAAAGATTGTTTTGCACTTGCTGCATCGAGCTCCGATAGTCAAATGTAACCATCGAGAGATTTTATCAATTAAGACATCAAAAATTCCTTCTAGGCGAATTATTCGCTTTTTACATTCATGAATATGTTCGTGGTTATGCGCATTCGAAATAAAGCATACGAAATTCGAAATCAGATTTGCATTATTACACAATACTCGATCATTTCTCTTATGTCAAATAAGGGATGTCATTTTCAAAAATAGGTCACGTGAAAAAAATGAATTTTGTCAATTTAAAAATTTGGTGAATTCTACAGAGAAATTTTACTGCATTTTTAACAGGACGTATTTTGTAATCTCTACTTTCAGAGTTTATTATTGTTACATGTGTATCGAGGACAGTTGGAATGCCATTGTGGTTCTTAAAAAACTCGTAATTGTGTTACAGAGGTGACCTATCATTTGTATGCAAGGAAACTTTTTTTTATAAACCTTGCCAAGTCTTAGCTACTGATGAATTTCATTAAAATTACAATGACCTCCGAGTAGTTACTGTTTCAATTATTCGCCCTATTTTACTTATAACAGCTCAAGTGTCAAAGCAATTTCAAGTAGCAGAGTGTCGATCGATGAACTCAATAATAAAAAATAAATGAAGAAAAAAACTTGGCATCTGCAAAAGAAACTACAGCCTCTTCAATTCCAGCCAAATTCGTCGCTCCCGGTAATAATTGTTACTTCATCTTTGCGAGTAAAAAAATATAACAAGCTATTAGAAAGTAGCTCGACAAAAGCAGCATTCGAGGGTAACGACACCGCGAAAATAAGGTTACAAAGGCGACTGTATACGGGCTTTACCACAATTAACTATCCCAGTTGTAGCTGCAGTGTGGATAATTATATTTTTTATAAACGTTGACTTATACAAATATTTTTGCTTTACCACTTGCAGATTTCTAGAAAGATTGGTACTCGCCACCTAGCGGGGAATGTGAAAAGTAGTATTATAGAATACGAAGTTGTCGAAAACTTGTTTTTTGGAAATTTTTTCAACCAATCAAATTTTTATTTTCAGGTCATTGAAAATGCGTTTGATATGTATAACTTATTCTGGGGATATCAGAGATATTCTGAATACTATTCTATTTTAATAAAGTTTCTTAATTAATTATTTTAATTTTAATTTATATATTAAAATCCATGGATATTGCTCTATTAATTTTGCATCCCTTTATCTGCCATTGAAGATATTCGATAATTACAACTATAATTAATATTGCAACATATTTTAACACAAGAAATACTTTACTGTACTTTACATTCAATATTTTAGCTTGTAACAGTATCGTTCTATGTTTTATTTAGTATACAAGAATACTTGGCTAACACACTTTTTTTACCAATCGCACTTGACGTGGCCTAGCCCATGTATATACAGAAAAAGCTCGAGAACATCTCTTCTCTTAATTGATCGAACTCGGTAAAAAAAGAAGAAGAAGAAAAAAAAGAGAGCAAAACACTCGAGCGACGTAATTCGAGAAAATATAATTGGTGTTTCTATCCCTCTTTCTCTCTCTCGTTCTCTCTTTCTCAGGCACTGGCGCAATAGGTGAGAAAAATATTCCATAATTTCATCTCTCGGCCGCGTTTATTACTCGAGGGCGGAATCATTACTACGAAGACATTGACAAAAGAGCTCGGCGTGTTATACTCGTACAGCCCCGCACCGACGTAGACGGCGACGACGACGACGACGGAGTAGACGCGCGGTGACCTCGTTTTAGCATCATCGCCCGAGGATTGATCCATATAATGCTCGCGCAATTGGATATGTATGTAGCTATATATGCGTTTGCTCGACGCGGGCTAAAATTCGCTATTGTCCTTAAACTTGAAATAAATAATTGGAGTGCATCGACTCGCGAGTATTTCTTCCGAGCAATTATTCGTCGGAGGGAAAAAAGTATATAAAGGGGATATATATTTCATTCATCTTTCGGGACGGCAACAGCTCATTCAAATAAATTGAACTTCTTGTTTGATAATGTACAAAGGCCTATGAAAATATTTCCCTCCATTTTTTCTCTCCGTGCAAGCTATATAGTTACCAGCTGTTATACTGCCGTTCGAGTTCCTTAGACTTTTCAGTTGAACTTTTACTTCATTAAAATTCGAAGAAAAGAGTTTATTTCGAAGAATATAGACCGATTTTTAACGAATCATTGTATCGGAAGAAGGATTTCGAGTCGGTATACGAGTCAGCTCCGTGTTACACGTAATTCTGATGTGTAATTTTGCAAAGTCTCATCAAACATGGGAAAACATATCCTCGGTATACATATTCCGAATGTTAATATAGTCGGCGCAGCACGATTGCGAGCTCGTAATATATATGCGCGCAGTAAGCGAGTATACAGTGCGCGCAAGTTCGAAACTCGAATATGACACGAGCCGGCGCGCGAGCGAGCTTAGCTCACTCGCTCCGCTCTTGCGTTCGCGTCTCGCGTCTCGAATGTATATGGACAAAAATGAGGGAGAAATTGGTAAATAGTATAATCATTATTCCGCGTCTACGTGCAGCATCAGCAGCAGCAGCGACAGCGACGGCGGGAGAGGATACGCGAGCGCGTTCGCTCGCGAAGCTCGTATAACTAGTTTATCGTTATATAGTATATATAATTCTGGAAACGTTGGAGTTTAGTTACGAAACACGCGTATACACATCTATACGCGTGCATAATGCTCATGCAGCAGCGGCAGCTATAGCTGCTAGTACACAACTCGTACCTCTGTATACAGCAGCAGCATCTACGTGTATACGTGTATGTACCGCTCGCGAATGAATAATCAACGATGCGCTATATAATGGTGCGCCGTAAATAAACGCGAGCGAGCGGGACGTGCCGAGCTGCGACTGTGGCTCATTCATCGCTGGCGTGTTCGCAATCGCTTGATTTGCCTCTATATACAGCTCGACTCGCTCGCGCGCGCGCGAAAGCTCGGCGTACGTACGTATTAAGCCGAGTCTTATATTTTTTCCCGCATCGAAATGATTCGATTATGAACGCGGGGCGCGCGCGCGTGTGCGGATAAAGTCAGCAGCTGTGCAGCTGTATATACGCTTGTACATAATCAGCAGTAGTGCTGGTGGTGGTGGTGGATAGAGCGCTCTATGCTGTACGTATAACGCAATATCATAAGCGCCGGCCGGGTCTTGCCTGTGCGCAGCCGCGGAGCTTGCGGCGCGCGCGCGACCGACGAACCACCTACTACTACTACCCATACCGTACTGGATCATCATCGTAGGGAGAGCGAGAGCGCGCCAAGCTTTTCAGTCGTCCGCAGAAGGCGAGCGAAGCGCCTCGAGGACGGATCTCGGCCGCTCCCGACTATTGTATATCTAACGCTGCAAGCTCCACCGCTGTGACCCCCCTACCTTCTGCTGACTCGTGTGTTTACGTTCGCTCGTGCAGACAGAGAGAGAGAGAGAGAGAGACCAGCTGCGCGCCTCCGTATATCCAAAGCATGGCCTATCGTCGCAAGCTCCGCGACAGGTTGCTGTCGCGAGCTCGGCTCGGATCTTATCGCTCGCTGCAGCAGCAGCGCAAAGACTGCGGAATCGATAACACAACCACGAGTCGATCGCATCAATAAATAATTTAAAAGCTCGCGTTTGTGCGCGTGTGTCCGAAGCAACACCTGTGCGATATCGATATGCATCGACGGAACGAAATGTGTCGCGAATAAGTGCGGACGTTGCATTATTATTTACACGTAGTAGCTGCATTACACAACTCGAGTCTCGAGCGCGTTGAAAAAAAAAGTCGGAGCATGACAATCGATCCGAGCACGCCGAGGCAGTGTTCTCTAGAGCAGGTGAGTGTGACTACTCGACGACACATATATACACAACTACGCTATATATGTATACCTATACACACGTTGTGCTTGCTTTTTCTCCTTTTCTCTCGCTCTCGCTCGCGTGCATGCCCTAGACACAGAAGAAGGAATTGCGGCGCGTAGACATTTTTAATCAAGCTATCCAACGTATAGAGGGGCTGACTGCGAGAATACATATATATACCGTGCGCAAGGCTCGAGAAAAGCTCGACCCTGTATTCCTGTGTGTGTGTTCCTATATAATATAGTGTATACTCTCGGGCGAGCACTATACATGTCGTCGGAGACGTATATACGGCGACTGTCGCCGAGTCTCTTTGAGAGAGAGAGAGAGAGAGAGAGAGCTACGGCCGGCACGAAGTACAAAGCGTTGACCTCGTGCCTAGTAGCTCACGTACACGTCGAGCCGCTGTGTGCGCGCCTCTTGCCTGCCAGTCGGTGCAGGCAGCCACCACCGCACCACGTATTATATCGTGGTACGTCGATGGCAATTTTTTTTCTTCCTCTCACACACACACACACGCGCACACGCGGACACACTGTATACTGATCAATTTCAAGAAACCTGTCGATGTGACCGCGCGCGTATATATACCGCGCTGCACACGGAAAACGTATATATTTACCTGCCGCGTGCAGCTCGATTTCTCTTGGGATGTTTGCCTTTTGCGCTCGGGTATCGCGCGGTGCGTCGTTGTTGTTGTGATTGTTGTTGTTGTTGCGTGCGTTATATCGTGTGCACACGCGAGTAGATCTCTCGTACGAAAATTATTTTGCGTCAGCGGCATTAAATTGTAAACTACGATAATGCTCGGTAATGCTCGCGGCGCATATTAAGCTCGTGCAGGCGCGCGCGCGCGTGCGGCGGCGGGGGGTCTATCAGCCTCGTGCCTCGTGCTCTCGACTCGCTCCTTCTCTATCTTATACTCGTTATAATAATAGCTCGTGTATACGCGCAGCTTTCGTATTATAGTTTGTCCGTGTGCTTGTGTACGTGTGTGGGTACAGCTAATATCCGAATCGATCGGTTCTCGCTTGTGTGTGTTGGTGTACCAACGTAGCCTCGTGTACACTATAATACTGCGTCGTAGTCGCTAGACTAAATGCACATCGAAATATTATATACCATATGATAGAACAACTTGCGACGTCGTGCGTATTAAACTCTTCACGTGCGGCAAGCTGCCTTTCGCGTATCTATATAGGTATGTGTGTGTTCATAAACTTGCGGAGAGCGAGCGAGTGAGCTAACAAAAAGCCTTAACGAATCGCTTTTGGCACGCGTCTCTCGCTCTCTCTCTCTCTCTATACGTAGGTATATATAGGCGGCATGGAAAATGTAGCATACGCGTACGCTCGAGCTCACGCGCTGCAAGCTCGCAAGCTCTCGAGCTCGTTTACGTATATACGTATATATATCTCTTCAAAGAGATTTTCAATTTGCTTCGTTTCACGAGCGAATGACAAGCGCGGCGAGAATCGCACGAGCCAGTCGCTGCACCGACCAAACGTTGCAGAGATTTAGCCGCGTTATTTGTGCGCGCCGCTTCGATTCGAGTGCGGCGAAAGAGCTGCCACATGGAAATGCCGCAGCGACGACAGCAGCAGCCGACTGTTTGTATTTTATATGCGCGGTATTATGAGAACATAAACTGGCGAGCTTTGCCACGCGCTAATATAAATACAGCGAAAGAGGACCTCCCTTCTGCTCCGTTTCTTTATTTGTCTTTTTGACCTTAATGTAATGCCAAATGCTTTGATAATTATTTAACAAAAACCACTCGCAACGACGGTCTCGTCTGTAGCTCGTCGAGCTTTACTTTATAATTGGCCTCGGCTGCGCAGCGTAATGTACATCTCTACACGTGCAGCAGCAGCACACGTAGTAACGCGCGCGTTGTATACGTAACGCAGCAGGCAAACGCAGTAATACTGCTGCAACGCTGCCGTGGCCATGCGAAGATTTTATAATTAAAAGCTCGGGTGCTATATGCGCGTACGGCAACAAAACACTTACGAGAGCAGAGTCGGTGCGGGTCTGGCTAATTAATTTTTCGACGAATATCCTAGCACTGGATCAAGAGCACGCGCTTTAATTCCCGCGATGAACGGAGAAATAAAATCTAATCTCGAGTAAATGCGCGCGAAGCTTTAAAATTATCGATTCTTTTTGTGACGCTCGATTGCTATATACGCGATCTCGAAAGCATATAGGCGCGTATACAAGTCTCGCAGTGCGAATAAAGTTTTCCTCCTGTGTCAAAGGCCTATTACTTTGCAGGCGAGCCGTGTAATATTGATGAAAGAAAAACATGCTGCTGCTGAGCGAGCGAGCGAGTGCATCATCGACATTGCCACGCGTCTCTGCGTATAACGCAAGTATAATAACCTCGGACTATTCACTCGCTGATATCTATGTAGGCGCAACGAATGAGAGAGAGAGAGATACGAGTGCGCCGCGCCATACGCCACGTATAGCCAACGTATATACGTAACACACACAAAGATATACACACACACATACACATTTTATTATGATACGCGGATGGAAAAGGTATCGATCCCCCCCGGCGGTGGCTGCGAGCTTCTGCTTCTGCTACTGCTGCTGAGCGCGAGAGAAAGAGGCATAAAAATGAGACATCTCATCAGTGGAAAAGTGTATGAGTGATGCACGCGCACTGCTCGGCGGGGGAGAAAGTAAAAAAAATGTTTTTTTTTCTCAACCTCTCGCGCCGCCGCTGCTTGCAGCACTACTACTCACTGAACCGAAACGAATATCGATGATTTTACGTCTCTCTCTCTTTATAATGCCTAGCTCGCGCGCGAGATTCAGCAACCAAGTACACGAGCGCATTTTTATCCCATATAACGTACCTTTATATGAGCGAGCCCGACGCGCTGCTGCTGCATCATGATCATGCAGGCAGGCATGGCAGGGGGAGAAGACTGTTTATCGGCTCGTCGTTAAAATCCGACCGCATCGGGCGTGCGACACTAACGCTGCTCTCGCGTGCGCGAGTCGCATACACCAACGCACACAGTTTGCAAGTTTATTGTTTTTAGCTTCAAACTGTCAAAGCTCGAGCGAGCCGCCATCCGACGCCGCGAATATAAATTCGCCAGCTCTCTCCCTCCCGCGTCCGGGGGGTGTGTGTGTGTATTACGCGTAAATGTGCGGGTGCAGTATATTATATATATCGAACGAATCCTTCGAAGGATTTTCCATTGTGCGATGGATAACGAGTCGCGCTGCGTACGTGCGAGGGAGCTTGTCAGGTGTCGGAAGCGCAATTATGTTGGCAGCCAAAAAAGTGACTCGACTGCAGCAGAGAGCTCTGCTCGTACGTGTATACAGGAAAATAGCGCGCGCAGATATATACTTGCTGGCCTCGGGCGCAGCAATTTGAGCTCCCTCCTGATGCTGCTGCTGCGGTGTGCAAGCTTCCACCAACGAATTGCACAAAAGATGTGTGTATGGGGGCGGGCGGATGGATTATGCTCGCGCGCGACAATCTGTGCCGGGCGAGGCAGACTTTTTTTCCCATTCACGGGGGCTTTTTTTCATTGTTCCATAGACCATCGCTCGTGAAATCATCGTTCGTTTGCAATAAGAAGAACGAATCGACGCCGCGAGAACACGAGAAAATAAATGAAAGAGAACGAGAGAGCTGCCGGTGCGTATATAAATCCGAGCGAGTAGTGAATTTATGAAGCTCCCGAGTAAAAAGTGCCTCTCTAACGACTCTCTGCGATCTCGATCATGGAGCTCTGCGAGAGGACAGACAAGAAGACGCGCGGATAGCAGCTCACAGTGTATATATCTGAAGTTTGCACGTTTTAATTCGTATATATATATAGCGCCGAGCCGAGCTTGCAGCAGCTCCGGTGGCTCGGATGCCACGAAAAAAAAGGAACGAGACGCGTAAACACGACTCGTACAAGCCTCGACCGTGTGCGGTATCGAGAGCAAACACGATCGTGGTTTGCCTCGAGAAGCTCGCGCGCCGAGATCCCGTGTAAATTTAACTTTTTTTTCCTCCCCGCTGCGCGCAACTGATTCGATCGAGAGATTTTAAATTAATTGATCATCCGAAACTTTTGTCGTGTTATCTCCCCCCCGCGCTGCAAATTCGCTATAGCGGGGGGGTTTGTTTACTTCGAAGTTTCTCGTTTTATGTACCGTGAAGGATGGAAGGAAGAAAACAAAAAGAGTAACAATATAACGAAGAAAATATCGATAAAATATTTCGCCCCGAATCTCAATAATATTTTCCACGCTCTTCTCAATTATCAAGAAAACGTTGGAACCATTAATACGCTCCTCTTGATATTTTTCTCATAACGCGCGGAATGACTTTGTCCGATAATTTCGCGAGTTCATCTTTTACAAAAGAACGAAGAACAATAAAGTTGGCGCGTCGAGAGAAGTTCGATATGATTTTTATAGCGCAACGACGGCGAGCGAGGGAGAGAGAGACACGACCGCGTAGTAGCGTATAAAGCAGAGTCTGCGAGTCGAAGCTCGCGTTGCCCATAAAAGAATAGCGCGAGATTACAGCTTGCGGAGAGTTACATATATACACATTTTTTTTTTACTTCTCTCTCTATCTCTCTTTTCTCTTTGTGGCTTACACACACACAGATCTCCTGCTGCAGCAGTGCGAGCAGATATGCCGAGCTGCTACCAACGTCGTCGGCCAGAAGCTTCCATACGCCGGAGGGATAAGTCGAGTCTCGCAGTGCTGGACGGGTTATGCTACTACTACTACTACCACTGCGTAGCGCAGGTGCGTCAGCAGCAACGGCTCGACGCAGCAGCAGCAGCAGCAGCAGCCGACGGCGTAGCGGGCGAGATTAAAGCCACGAGGTCCGACACGAATTACAGGCAACTCGAACGTATATCTTCGTAGCGAGGCACCGAGTGCAAGAGAGCTTTTGAAAAATGGGCGCCAACCAGTCGTCCTCGAGGAGTTTACCCACACCCGGCGAAGAGGGTAAGAGTCACTGCGCGACATTTTATATATATTATACATAGTAAAATTCTTTGTTCCTTTTATCAGCGTCATTTGTCTCGGGCGAGAAAAGCGAACGTATACATGTATATATAGGAACTTTTTACACACACACGCTGGAGAGCGAAAAAAGAGCGGCTATATACTCTCACGCAGTCGCGCGAGCTCTTTTTTACGGACGCACGACGCGCGATCAACTTGGCCACCGGCGGCTCCGCTCGTTCCTATATATATGTGTAACGGCCGTGTAATTGATGACCCGAAAATGGAAAGTTGCATGTGCGTGCATACTATATATAGCCGACCAACAAAATGGATTCGATTCGTAAAGGCTAATCCGTATTAATGATCGCCCTGGAACTAGGACACGATCGAGAAAAAGGGAGAGAAAATTCGCACGTCGATCGGCGCGCACGAGCGTCGAATTCGCTGAAATTTAATAAGAAAATTTCACGAGCTTTGTGTATGTCGTGTACATCGTTCCGGGAATTCCCACGATCAATCGTTTTCAAGAGGCTTTGATCGAAACGCTCGGCAAATTTCAAGGACCGTAGCCGGGGGATTGTGTGTGTGTATTTTGTTGGAAAACGGATCGCGCGCTCCATACACGCGGGGAATAGATCGGGCGTTTGTCAATTGAAAATACAATTCACCGAGCAAATATGTAATTTTTTGCCGATAGAAGTTTAGGTCGCCCAGCAGCTCTCATCTGCTCAGCTGCCATCGACTACGACGACTTTTCTATCGTGTACCGGCGGCTGCCCGCGACACAAGAAGATTGTGCACGAACAAAAACTGCGTTTATGAATTCCCAGCGAGATGGAATTTTCCCTTCTTCCTTACCTATACTCGCCTACGTGTTGCAGTAGCGGCTATATAGTACAACGAGTCAATTAAATTTCACTCGCAGAGATTGTTCGAGAGCTGCATGGTAACGCGCAAAATCAAGCGGAAGTGCCTCGCAGCGGCTCTTCTAATTATATCGAAAATCATAAAAGGAAGCGGCGGCGCGGCGAAAGCAGCTGGCCTCGCGATAACAAGGCGTTTATATCGCGCTCGGGATATTTCATTCGGAAGCCGCGGGAGTTCTCGAACTATTTACACGTCACGCTGTAGGATCGTCGTCGTCGTTGGGCACTTCTTCCGGTGCGGCTAATTCGTCCAGCAATTATGCAAAATCTCTCTGTGCAGCCCTGTGCGCACACGGCGGGAGGGCTAATAGTAGTAGTAGTAGTGGCTATATATGGCCGTAAAACAAATTTGTGCTGCGCAGTGCGCGACTATATACGCGAAACGTGTGCGGCAGTTGTACAAAAGTGCCGAAACAAAGGTCGTGTTGATAGCGACACGAGCTACTGGTCCCCCGCTCTCCGTACGCGTATTATCATTATTATATAGACGCAACATGCAAATGAGCAGCGGCGGCGGCTATCGTATTGCTGGCGGGGGCTTATACGACTACTATTATACTTCTAAAATTTTCATGAATTTTAACACCGTCGCGCGGCCGCGGTTCCCTTTTTTCCCTTTTTCCTACTTTTTTTTTGCTGTACAAAGGAAAAAAAAATACGCTGGGCGTGCGTGTGCAGCTCGCGTACTATGCGCGCGCGGGCGACTCGTATTTTACGTGCTGGGCGCGCCGCGATATAATACGGAAAAGAATACCCCCGTCGCGTATGTGTGCCGTGCCGTGCTGCGCTGTGCTGCTGCGAGCTTTCGCCTACACATTGAAAGCTGAGCGCAATGAAAAAATGTTTTTAGATATATATTAAAGACGTGCCACGCTCGCGCGCGCGCCCCCGAGACTATTGTCGCCCACGAGCTTTCACGGCGAAAAAATTTAAATAAAAGCGAAAGAATTGCCCTCTAAGCTCGTGCACGCGCGCGCGCGCGGTGCAGCATTCTCCATACTACAGTCTATATATATATTGCAACGAGGGAGAAATGTCATCCAAAGAATTTTGTATTTTATAATTACTAGCCACTTTACTTTGCGCTTCGTTGTTGCTCGATTCTGCGCATTTTTTCTGTGTTTTGCAATTCCGCGTTCTACTACGCGGGCGAACTGATACATTCCGCAGTGTTGCTATGACAGCCGGATAAAAAGCGAATAAACTGCTCTTCCTTGTTAACCGATCACTGTTTTAAAACGAGAACAGCAGCTTTTTTCATGTATAATTCGCAGGTGTATACCATCGCGCTGCGTATATCGTTCGAACGTTTCAACTTTCCTATAATCCAGTTACGCGTTCGCGACTCGACTTGATTGAATTTCTTGCCAAAACATTTTGATCGCAGAAAATATCCCCGAGTCAATAATAAATATCATGCGCGTATTTATGCGTGAAACAATAATTCAAATTTGCACGTATATCCCGGCACACAACGTTTGAATGGCGAAAATGAAATTCGAGCCCGAAATATCCAGCCAGAGCGAATGAGCTAGACAGCCGTTCGACGTGCTGCGTGTCGAACACGCGATATTATTATTCGCGAAATGCAACTGTTAATGACACACGCGCGAGCACGGCGGCCGTACGATTTTTTTCTACTTGCTTTATACATTAAAAAAAAAAAAAAAAAAAGAAACGAGAGCTCCATAAATATCGGAAACGTTAAAAGCACTCGGCGTTTTGCTCGAAGCGCGCGCGCGCGCGCGATATCGTGATTAATTTTGCGTCGACGGTACATACACAAGCTTGAGCGCGCGTGAGCGCAACGAGATTCTTTGGCTATAAATAGCCTCCCTGCTGCCGCTGTACTCTCGCTCGAGTTAATCCGCCCACACGGTACACACTCGCGCAGGATGTGCGCTGATCCGTGCCCTCCCATCCCCCATTTGCCGATGAACAGGTTTATTACGTTCGGCGGTAATAGTTCAGGGCGCGAATTCATCGAGAAAAATCGTTGCGCGCGGAAAATTCCGCGTTTCCGGATTGTACAAGTAAACGCGTCGTCGCATTGTCGAATTTGCCGAATCGTACAAAAGCTCTCGAGACGACGACGATTACCTCTATATATATAGAACGAGAAGGTGTCGAGTGAGAAAAGTATATATACCCACGCTGCGAACCTAATTAGGCCATCCATATTCCGCTGCAAGCTGCTCTCGCTGTTATACGCTTCATGAAATATTTTATGCGCATGACTGAGCAGCGGCAACATAGAGAGCTATAGAGAGAGTCAAAAAAGTAGTAGTAGTAGTAGTTGCTGGCGGCGCAGTACTACTGTTCATTTGATCTAAATTTCTCAGCTGATTTTCAAACGGATTTTTCATACACTTAGGGTCAGGCATGCGTTTATAATTTTTCCTTTTTTTTTCTTACTCGCGAAAAAGCTCTGCAAAAAATTTACTCTCCCGCCACTGGCACTGCCGCTGCTGCTGCTACTACCGCTGTTGCTAAGCTCCGCGCGTTCGCGCGTGTATAATAATTTTGCTCTGCGGTCTCTCGCGCCAAGCAATTATAGTATTTACGATGACTGCATAGGAGGTAATTTTTCCTTTAAAAAATACTGCAAAGCTGCTCGGCTGAACATTATTCATGTCTCTCTCTCTCTCCCTCTTGCTGCTTTCATTTTCCGCTCGCGGAGCTTTTTTGTCGAGTTTATAAATTTTCACGATGCATACGCACGTGTACGCGCGCGCGCGCACGCACGCTTATTATACATACAACGGCTTGATATATTCTCGTTAATGAGCCCGCACTCGTGTGCGGTATGGGGAGGATCGCAATTTTATATTATAGAAGATGCCCCAGCTCGCAATATGTTAATGCAAGCTCAAGGATCGCTCAAAAAGCTCGGAATATAACGAAGAGGGGCACATTTATACGTATACAACAGAATTGCGAATCATCGATAATTAGCATTCGATAAAATCGATACACGACCTCCGCTCGTTTTGGCTCTCTCGTGTATATCGAAATAAGCTATTGATAATGCTTAGGCGAGCTGCCCGGCACAACAACGCGTACACACGTATATAGCCGCAGAATATGGATGATTAGTCGGTACACGCGTCACGTATATATACGAGTGCACGTTGTTCGCACACGTCTGCAGGGAAATGAGAGGAGGTGGCTCGCTCTTATATGCATATATAGGTAGAGGTGTGAGCGCAAGCCACCGCCACCAGTCGGAATTAACGTCCATTGAATTACACGTCAACTACGCTAGGCGAGCTGTGTAGCCAGCGTATGTGACAGAGCGTCCAGCAGCAGCAGCACATTATATGCCCGTAGGCTCTAAACAACTTTTCACCGTTGCAGACACGCTTATATTCGCAGCTCTTATACGTACAATATTCGCCACGTGCTACACGTGCCGCTGTTATTTTCTCTTGCATCGATGAAATAGCTGCACTATTGCGTACACTCAACAATTACGAATTTGTGTTTGTTCGACAACTGATGCTCGCTGGTTTTTCCGTCATTTTTTAAAACATTTCCGTTTGTACGCGCGCGTGCGATCTTGAATTACAAGCGCGATTGATCGAGAGCATTACGCGCCGTGCAGCCATACACACTCATAGCTGCTGAGTTAATGTAAGCTTCGACGCGTATATGCGTACAGAGATGTGTTATATTGAGGAGTTTGACTGATTTCGATTATTTCGCCCCGGAATTATTCAATCATTCCACGTGCCGCAGTTGCATAAACGCAAACGCAGACGCGCGCGCACACACACAGGCTCTCTCGGAGATGCTGAAGGGGTGCTTGAGTCGATCTACTCGATTCCGGGGCAAAATATTTATCCATTCGAGTGCGTGATCGATCGAGCTATCAATCAAAAACAGCTCAGTGCATGGCGGAATCATATAAATAAATAACAATGAGTACGTGTATCCGCGCGCAAAAAATCTCATTGGTGAATTATAAAAAAATGTTCAGTGCGTTGAAATACGAAACGATTCATTATGAAATCATTAAGATAAATGAAAATGGTCACGAGACATGACTGTTTCATGAGAATTTCTTTTTCGTTTTACATTGAGAAAATTCAAATTAAATTTTTGTAAAATTATCTTTATTCAGTATTAAAACATCTTTTAAGTGACCGTTCATTTACACATCTATAGTATAGATTCTATACATTCATGGTATGGTTGAAACTCTCAAAATTAGTAATGGCCTGATGATCAAGATGTCAATTCTAAATGTTTTGAGATGCATTAGTTGACTTGTTTTTAGCTATTTTCAGTTATAATTATGTTACAAATATTGAGCGCCTTTGAATGACCCGGAAATAATAACCAGTTTACAATCATTTTAAAGAGCGTGAAGCTATTTCAAACTTCCGCCACTAGATGGCGAGTACCAACTTTTATACAAATTTGCAAGTGGAAAAGTCAAAATGATTGTATAAGTTACGGTTGAAAAAAATATTATGTACGCAAAAGCTCCTCTTTTCTGTTGCTGTATCATGATTTCGACAAACAACCATCGACAATTTCAATTTTTTTTTAAATTCCCCGATGAATTTTCATTCGTATAGCAACTGATATTCTACCGCATCGACCGATGGAAGCTCGTACAGTATTTTTCTCGGCACTACGTACGAAAGTTCTTTATTAAAAATTGCTGTCGAGCAGTCGCGACCGGATATGCAATACAAAGAATTTTCTTTCTCCGCGAGCTCTTCTCTCTCAGGTCTCTCTTTTCAGGTCAATTGTGCGCGAGTGAGAGAGAGGGAGAAAGAGCTCGGACGCGCATATATACACGTTTTCGCGCAAATTCTTATTTCCCGCGGCGTAATAATTTCCTCGGATTTTTTTCTGCTAAGCTCGTCGAAGATTTCCCCCCAGTGCAGAGTGTGACGGAAGTACGCGGGAGAATTCGCGGCATTGTGCAGCACGCCGAAGCGACAATGGCAGAGTAATCTGTATGCATAAGAAAAATGATTAGTCGATATGTCTGCGAGTCGGTGCGCTGTACCCTCGGCCAATGCAGCGCAATGTTCGCTTATATGTAGACGTGAGCGTCCTTTAACGGGACGAGGACGACGACGAGGACGACTATTGTCCGCAATGGACACGTCGACGACATATATGCACGCGAGAGAGAGAGAGCGAGGAGTAATCTTGACAAATGAGCAAGAGCTGATTGCGGCATGCCCCTATGTATACGCGTACACATAACACACGTAATATTAGTGCAGTCGTATACGATGGGGCTTGTGCCTGTGTATGCGTAATCGCAAACGAGCAGGCTTGCAGCGACTCTCGACGCGCGCCCATATATACATAAATCTGCGTACACGTATATTATAAGCCAAGTGTGCGGTGCAGTGGCAACGAGAGAGAGAGATGAGGGCTCGCCCAGGCCGTTATCATCCGCTAAGAAGCATCACGCGGTCGGGGGCGGATTACATTCCGCCGCTCACGAGCTCTGACAGTATCTTTATTCCGACTGCTGCCTCCGCCGCCGCGCCGAGTCGAGCAGCAACAACAAGTCTTTAATAAGCAGCTTATACGCGCTGCGACGAATATAATATGCACGTGGTGCGCGAGCTTGCGAGTTGCTCGCTATCTCGTATCATATAATATGCATATGCAGCCTGTGTATAATTTGCGCGTTATGAGCTGCGGGGGATGCGAGTGAAAAAGCTCACCGAACGTAAATCAATTATTCGCGTACTTGTGTGTAAACTTTTTTTCTTCTCTCTGTTGCAGTGAACTTCGATCACTTTCAAATACTGCGCGCCATCGGCAAGGGCAGCTTTGGAAAGGTAATTAACGCCCTGTCAATTATTTTATATTTGGTTTATTTATTTATTTATTTATTTTTTCCAATTACGTTATCGCTCGCCATTGGTAATTCGTTCGATCGTCACGATCGCAAGCGACAGTATCCATTAGCCGGATTGTAATGCGCGCGCGCGCGCCCTCGCGTCGATGTAATTACTCGACTTTACATTTCTTTATTTACAGCGGCACTCGCGAGCGACCCCCGTTTCGCGTGGCAAAAAGCTTTTTCGAACACGCTGTATTTTCCAACGCGTAGCACGCGGAGCAATATTTTTTATTTTCTTTTTTATTTTCCCGTCACAAATGTCGCATAATATAGTACAAGGTACGGCCGAAAGTCAATTAAACGTCATTCGGGGCTGCTGCGTCGAATGCATTATCTAGTGGTTTTTTGGGCAGATGCGTCGTCCCGAAAAGCCAACTGAAATTTCCACTTTCGGACTGCAGCGCGCAACTCATTTACATCGTGTGCAGCAAAAGGGCGCACGGGAAAAAATATTTTTTTATCGCCAGCTCGACATTTGTACTTGGGCGCCCGTTATTGGCTAACTGAATTTTTCGCGCGACGCGAAATATAAGCGATCGGTCGCTAAAAAATTTTGTACTACACCGAATGAACCTGCATGTGTGTGTGTTTTATTTATTTTGTAATTCAATTTTTATTTCGTTCGTTCACAGGTGTGCATAGTGCAGAAGCGCGACGCGAGAGGCAACATGTACGCGATGAAGTACGTGAGGAAGGGCGAGTGCGCCGAGCGCGGCGCCCTCAAGAACGTCGCGCGAGAAGTCGAGATCCTTTCTCGCTTGGAGCATCCTTGCCTCGTCAATTTGTGGTTCAGCTTTCAAGGTAATTGAGGCATTTTCTCGGCTACCTTCGCCTTTTTTTTTTACTACTACTACTACGTAGCCTTTTTCCTTTTTCTTACCCCCCTTCTTCTCCTTCTACTTCTTTTTTTTTCTTTCCCGTCCGCTTGGCTGCTCTTATTTCTGTCTGTCTTTCTTCTTTCTCGCTTCTTTTCTCTTACTATCTCGAGCTTTTAACGTCCTTCTTGTTGGCTATATACGCTCGAGCTTGGAAAGGAAAAGTTTTGATTTTTTTCCTTCTCTTTTTCTCTCTCTCTCTCTCTATAAGGCCAGCCACATTTTTTCCCTAACCAATTTAAAAAAAAAGTTGCATTTTTAATTGCTTTAGTTACATTTCGATGACTTAATTATCCTTGGGTTGAAAAATTTTTTTTTCTCTCGGTACCGCGAGATTAGCATAAATTAAACTCTTACTAACGTTTAGCAAGGATTTGAACAAAAGAAAGCAGTTGAAATGAGGCACGATTAAGTTAATCGAGCTCGTTTAAAACCTCGAGTGTTTCGAGTTTCCATACGCGTCATTACCCTGGCTTGCTTGCGTTGCGTTGCATAGCATCGCATAGCGTGTGCTCGTACACTCTCACAATGCGAGTGAAATTTGCCCAAGATGTAATTTAAAAGGAAAATTGCGCCGTGAATTACATTCAGCCGAGCTTATTTTCTCCTCTTTTTTTTTCTCCCTATCTCTGCTCCAACGACGACGTCGACGACGACGACGACAACGACGACGACGACGTCAACGACTAGACGAAGAGGACTTGTTTATGGTATCGGATCTGCTGCTCGGCGGCGATCTGAGGTACCACTTGCAGCAAGACGTGCAATTCAGCGAGGAGAGCGTGACGCTTTTCATCGCCGAGGTCGCCCTGGCTCTCGATTACCTGCAAAAGAACCGCATCGTGCATCGGGACATCAAGCCGGACAATATTCTGCTCGACGAGGAAGGTGAGTTTAAAAAGAAAATCTATATTTATTCAGCTAACGAGACGAGTGTCAGTAGCAGCAGCAGTCAGAGTCTGAGTATACTATGGTACATATATAGGACGCTGCGGTGCAGCAGCATCGAAGCCGACTCGCCCGCGCAAAAAGCCAGAGAAACGGGGCTTTTTCCGTTAATTAACTAGAGATAACCCTGGGCCTCTCCCCCAATGCGATGTGTATTTATATTTTATACATATACCCCTAGGAAGCTGCACAGACGTAATTTTCACGAGTAGCTTGTAATTAGAGAGAAGAAATTCGAGCGACTATACAAAGAGACAGCTCAGCTGCTACTACCTACTACTACTACTACTACTACTACTACAACAGACAGCTACAGCTGCTACTGTTGCCTTCGCCTTCTACTACTGCTTCGTTAGTTAATAATATTCTTTCCAGCAGCCGAGCTACATTGCAGCTACACCGACGAATTATGTACTTGCACGCGATACGCGATATACATTAGAACTACGCGCGCCAGAAATAATGTGTATAGAAATTTTTTTACCGGCTCGAGAAATAGAGCTTTGTTGAATGTTTGAAAAGCAAAGCCCGAGTGTACTTTGAATTTGAACGCCTCTCGCTCGCTCGCTCGCGCCAACTGAAATTCATTTTCTCGCTCCCGGTAAAGTGCATCTTTACAATGTAGCGATATATACGTGTAAAGAGCTGCAAAGTATAGAGAAAAAAAAACATAGCGAGGGCTATATGCAGATATATAGAGAACTGCGCGAGAGCGTTAAAAAGCAAAAGGAAACGAAAGCGAAAAATCCCTCCTCGTCGCTTTTTTTCTCTTTTTCGGTGTACTACTGCTGCCGCTTGGCGAAATCCAAGATCCCCAAGCGTGTGAGCCAGTCCGAGCACTGACTTTCACTACTTACGCCTCGTCTTTTGCATGCGGCAGTCGCTTAATCGCAGCGCTGTGCTCTGCAGCTACTCCGCAGAGCACGTTGAGCAAGCCAAGTTGCAACGAGAAAAGTATATTGTAATAATAAAACGGGGGACCGCAAAGCACGACTTTCGGCTGTTTCGTACCACGCGCGTACACAACGAGTCATGTAAATAGGTCTCTGAGAGTTGAAGAGAGAGAGAGAGAGCAAAAAAAACAGGAATAGACACACTATATTGCGAGAGTAGCAAGAAAATGCGAGAATAAGAGGGAGAGAAAGGCCGGAGGAAGAAAATAGGGGAAAAAAAGCAAAGGACAAAGGAAGGGTCGACCGCAAAAGAAAAATAAAGCGAAAATAAATGCAAGGCAGGGCGTACGTACGTGTTCGCCTCTCGACTATTTGTATAATATATATTGCTTATTCAACGCTCACGCGCGCGCGGAGATGAAAACTTTTATCATTTCTTTCTTTAACAGCCATTCCGGAAAATTAATGAACGTAATTAAAATAATTAATTCTGAGCTCGAAATTATTATCATTATAATTATTATTATTAGATAAACGGCACGCATGTGACATCGACCGACATCAATTTATTTAATCAACCTTGAGCTCGGCCGTGGCGCAATGTACACGTGATGTTTAAGAGGAATAACCATAAAAGCACGAATTTACTCAAAATAATACTCGAGAGTATGGCAGCGATACTAAAAAATTTTATCGCCTCGCTCACGCATGATCGGCCCAGTACATACGTATCGTTAAAAAAAACTCACGACCCTACACGCCACATGCTCTCTCTCTCTCGCTCTTTTTCCTCGTGCTCCCTCGGCTGTACCTTGTAAATTGAGGCAAAGCGATAAATTTCGAGGCGGTCATTCGTGCGTGAAAAAAATTCGTTGATTTACAAACTCTTGCCCTGATTAGGTACAGTCGGACATTTTTTTCGGCCAAACGGTATTTTTTTTTCAACTCTTATCGTGTTAACGCTCGCAAGCTCGCTGCAAGCTCGACTTTGCTTTATTTAAGACGGAGAGTAGAGCAGAGCGCCGCGGCAATACGAGAAGTTTTTGTTTGAACGCGAGAAAAAAAAGTAATAAGAAAGAAACAAAGTGAGAGATAAATGTATATATACGTATGTATGCGAAGCGTTGTTATACTTCAAAAGCAGCCGAGAGAGAGAGCCAGAGCTAAACTTTTTTAGCGAGGCTATATAAACTTATAAATTTATATCAGAGCTCGGGACAGTATATTACTTTTTTGTTTCGTTTCAGGAGGAAAAAATTGATATCTTTGGGCAAAAAATCTCTCTCGTTAAGCATTAATAATCCACAAAATGTAGTACACCTTGCGGATTTTTTTGACAGGTCAATCTCTTGCATTCGATTAATAATACAAGTATTTTTCTTTTTCCGCGTTATTGATCAAGAAAACAGCTCGGATATATACTCGGGGGGAACGAGATTATCAGCGGTACAACAGGCAGGCGGGGGCGCGGGGGGGAGCTTAAAAGCTCATCCCTGGGAAAACATGCAGCGTCGGCGGAGTTCGTGCGTCGTGCTTGGCGCGTACGCGAGGCTGACTTATTGCTCATCGATCCTCATCACGTATAATCTCCTTGCGGTAGCTCAATCACAAAGCGATATCGTGCTCGTGCTGGTCGCTATTTTTGAATAATCACGAGGTAGGAAGAGAGAGAGAGCGAGAGAGAATTAATCGAGCTGGAGTTTCGCGCGCTTCCGCGATAGAGACAGTGGATGAATCAACGGAAAGCCGAGATCCATATGGATGCGCGCACAAATCGCGTGCATACATACGTACTATTTCTCCGCGTCTGATGCGAAAACGCGGGGGTGCGCGGGAGCCAGCCGTTTCGCGCTCCCTATTTACCCTGGAACTTGACAAGCAGCGAGCGAATTCTATGGCCTGTTAAAATACAGCCAACGTGCAACAATACGGCAGAGAGTTTGTACTACTAGAGCGAGGAGAGTTGCCGCTGCCGCCGCTGCCGTGTACTTTCGGAGCTAGGTATAGGTATTACACAGCAGCTCCTTTGTTATTTGGATTTCCCCGTATAGGTATAAGTACGCGAGCTTGCGACGTATCTGCGTTCGTATACGCGAGCTTTTACCTTTTCAGCGTGTATCGTTTGAGTAACTGGCCTTCTTTTTTCCTTTTTTGTTTTATGTATCTATGCACCGATTTGCGATTCGCTGTTTACTTATTAGTATTTATCGGGGGCTCGTTTCGACCTCGTAATCATCCGACTTTCGCGTGCACATTTTTTTCTGACAAAAAAAAAACAGAAAAAAAAGAAACGATTTGTACGAAGTATAAGGAATTTACCGGTTCACATTTCACGTCGCACGTTTACTTTCAGATGAAGCGCTGAAAGAATCGTTAAATAGGATAGGAAACGACGAGTGCGACGACGACGACGACGACACGAAATCACTTTGAAGGAATCCTCGAGCGAGCTCACGCGCAAAGCTCGTAATTCCATCAAAAACGCGCAAGAAAGCCAAAGCATATTCCCTCTCTCCCTCTTTCTCCACGTTACTACTAGTAGAAGTAGTAGTAGGTATACGCTTTATTATTCGAGTCGACGCGGAGCCTTACGCGTTTAAGTAGGTAAAGTGTCAATGAGCGATAAAACGCGAGCGCGTATATACGCGGCAACACAATGGAGCTCTCTCTCTCCGAGGCTTGCGCACAGGAAAGTGAATACGCTCGCACGAGGCTGTGTATTATGCGCGTATGTGCCACGGCTCACGGAAGACGAGATAAAAAGTGACGATTCTCTCTCGCAAGCTCCGCTGCAGCTAGCCATAGCTCCGAGTCCACGCGCGCACGTAAGCAGCTAATGTTCATACAAATCCGGGACCATCAACGCGTATAAAGCCTGCCGCGAGTTAGCTCGCTGTACAGTGTATCCTATCAGCGCGTGGCACGTAATGGCCGGAGCTTTCGCGCCATTGTGTTTACGGCTGGATACACCGCGCGTACGAAGCTTTATAACGTATATAACAACCTGCTCGAGCTATTAGCCGAGATCTAAGACGCGAGTTGCTTCTCCTTAAACGGCGCACATTATAACTCGCCGAGGATGACTGAAATATCGCCGCGCATCGATGTATCGTCGCTTCTTAACTCGAATATATAATAATATCGCATTTTTCTCGACGCTTTTCGCTCCGCACCACGTGATATAATCTTTTTATTGTCCGTTGTTTCGTTGCCGCAGTCGCGCGAGCTCTCAGCTGCAATTTCGAAGCCGCGTATACTCGCTTTATATCTCTCTCTTGCCACCGAGCTATACGGGCAGCATCGCGGGACGTCGAGCTCGAGCGCGATAAGACGCGAAACAAGCGAATTTATTTCTCTCTCTCTCTCTCTCTCATCTTGTTTTATTTAGCCGTGACGGTGGCAGCTGACTGTGTTCGGGTATAAAACGATGAATATCTCTCCATTGGCCACGAGGGGATAGCTGGATGGGGGTGTGCTTTCAGTCACTTTTGCCGCGTTCATCCATACACAATATCGCGTTTATTAACACCTTGGGATTTCACGCCTGACTAAAATCTCTCGTCGCTCGCGTTATGTTCGCGCAATTAGCTATTATAATAACCCGATACCGACCGAGCCGCTGCTGCTGCTTTTTGATCGAATCGTTTAAACGTTGATCGTACTAATTCCATTCGACGATATCGCCGCAAAAAGGTACACAAAGAGCTGCCGACGTGCGTCGGGGAATTGACCTCGGAGCTGGGAAAACAAAGAGTAAGTAGTGCTCGCAGACGCGTCAGCTGCAGTTTAAAGGGCGAAGACGTTGAAAAATCGAATTGCCATTAGGTGAAACTTGTCGATAGTTTAGCGACGCGCCAGCGACTGATCGTGATTTATGAATAAAAACTACTGGGGAACGCGTTAGTAGTTGCACGCCAATCCTCGTTAAATAGTTTCGCGCAAATGAAAAAGGACACCGTTGAATACAATAATGCAGTCGAATGCACCGGGAGAGGAGTACCTTTTCGTGTAATATCATGAATAATTCAAATAGAATAAGCAATATAATCCCGAGCAATCGAGCTGAAAATTCGCCCGTATCAGAGCGTAATTTTTATACGTCTATATATCTAGGTATATACATATTGCTTCGGGTTATAAGCCCTTAAATTTTGTATTTTTCATTTTTTGCATAAACGAATCTGCCGGCTATATACGTAGCGCGCGCGAGGGATGGAGGCGGCTTCTCTTTGAGTCTCGTTTTTGCAACCATGTAAAAAAAAACGTTGCGTATAGTACTATATATACATCACGCTGCTGCTCGTGCACACGCTCTTCTCTCTCTCACTCGCTGCTCTCGAGCAAACAAGTTTCTTGCACTTTGCGCCTACGTAATACGTTGCGCGCACTGCTCTGCAAACTTTAGGGAGAGGAAGAGGAGGAGGAGGGCGAAATAAAGCAGCTTCTCTCTCTCTCTCTCTCTGGCAAGAGTGAGTGAGCGAGCGAGAGAAAAGGATGCTCTATCTCTCTGTGTAGGAGCTATATGCTGCACGTATACATAATGCGACTGTCAAAGAAACGAAATTGATCCCGAAGTCGAGTTACCTCGGTTCGAGTTCGAGTTCTGCGCCGCTGATGCTGCTATTACATTAGGGCGCGCGACGTTAATTGCTCGCGTGTGCGCGCACATACAGCAGATACTTTTATTAGCGAGCTTCGTTTATTACGCAGGCTGAATTACGTGCCTAGTGCGCCGCGTTGATTACCGAAGATTATGCGCCGCCGCCGCCACCGCCTAGCGCAAAACAATAATATTTTATTTTACGATCGCTATGACGACTCTAAAGCTCGCGACATTTGGCACGTTTCCTTACCCGTGGCTTGGGAAGTAGCAGCAGCAGAAGCAGTACGGAGTAGCGCGGCAGAGGAAACTTTGATTCGCCCCTAATCCTCCCGGCCGCACCGACGCTGCTGCTGCTGCTGGTTGGGAGTGGTCCAAGTATTACACGACGTATACATAATGGCCCCACGCGCGCGCGCGCACGCGTGTATATACAAGGGATATTTAATCTCAAGCACGCTGAGAACTTGAGCAAAGTCTTAACCTGCTGCTGTTCCTTGCCTGCCAGTCCTACTACTACTACCACTACCTACTATACCTACCATCACTACTACTACTACTACAATTGCGCCGACCGCTTCTGAAACTTCCCTATATACAGCTCGCTCTCTCCTTTGCTCCGACTTTGCATTAGTCATTGCAGCTGGTCTCCGACTATTCCAGGGCTTATGCGATTTTATAGCAGGAAAAATACGATGAATATTTAATGTGTGTGTGCAGCTCCGAAAGCGGCGCAGCGATAGCGTGTTTCGTTTCTCCTTCCTACTCTTGTTTTTCTTCTCTTTTTGCATCGGAATACTCGAAAGCGTGTACACAAAAATATCTCGCTAATACCGTTTTGCCGAGCTTTTTAAAAAAAAAGCAATAGCCGACAGTAGTAGTAACACCCGATGGTGCTATGTAACGCTCACTGTAGCGTATACTCTCGACGTTGAACGGTGTGCACATGGCAAACACAACACACACAGCAGAGGAGAGCCAGCATAGAGAGAGGAAAAATGTGCAGCGCGAAGGAAAGTTTTTTAATATTCGTAACGAGCAGCAAACAACAAAGTAATGGAACATTTCATTTTATTAGGATTATTAATGCGCGCTTTGCGAATGAACAGGCTGCAGAGGATTCGCCGTTGCCTCCCTTCCCTCGGCCACCACCTCCCTAATAGCTCGAGGTATGACGTTAAAAAAGCTCGAGCTCGATGCGCTCCCTCCCTTCGGCGCTCCCGCGGTAATTTCCGATTTCGAATCTTTCGCAAAGTGCCCAAGTTTTCATAGCTCGACGAACGTTCTTACATCTCGACGGGAATCGACTTTTACGCCTTAAGTGTCTCTCTCTCTCTCTCTCTCTCTCTCTCTCTCTCTCCCTCTCCCCCTCCTACTCTTAAGCGCGTGCGTAAAAAAGTTGGCGATTGAATTAACTTGTTGCAATTTTTCTAGACTCGGTCGTCTTTTTTGCCCGCGCGTTAATGAACCGAAAAAAGAAAACGTATTTTCTGCACAAGCGCCGCGACGCGCGGCATTGAAAAGCGTCAATTTTACGGTCTCGCCGAGACGATCCCATAAATACCTAAAATGCATAAGCGAGCGAGGGGGCGGCCCTTGTGTATTCTTGCCTTTTAAATCTATTTTCAGTGCGAGAATAAAGCTCTAGCCGCTCGCTCTCTTTCTCTTTCTCTCTCACAAGCTCAAGCTCAAGCTCAAGCTCGTGTACATACTATACCGCATATATATACGTGGTAAAATATTCCAGGCATTGCAGCAAAGGCAAAGCTCCGCCGGATATATATAGGTATAGACATAAGTACATATATACAGATTGCAGCCGGAGCTACTGCACTCGAGAGATGATGCTCGGCCATACGGATGAATATATAGCGCATTGTATAGCTATATAGGCGGGGGTACCAAAGCCACAGGCTCTTGCCGAATAGACGTATATACGTTATAGGGTATGTGCTGTATATAGCCCTCACCGCGGCGCTTCTGCATCGATGCGCTTTCGTATTAAAACAAGTATTAATAAAGTTCGAGCTCGAGACTCGTGGCCCAGAGTGGCCACGCGCGGCAGCGACGGCGCCATAGCTATTTATCTTTTTGTGCCCAGCAGCAACGTAAGGAGAAAAAAATTACGATTACGCGGATGGATGAAGAAAAGTTGGCTGAAAAGCTTTGGCGAGCTTGCGAGCCCCGCTCGAGCAATATACTGTCTGGCCACGCGCGAACGCGACTTTCTCCCGACCGCGCGAGACGCTCAACGTCGATTTGATTTTTTTTCTTCTTTTTTGAGTCGCGCAGCCCGTGTATGTCTTATACATAATGCATAGCAGTATTTTCCCTTGCATAATGCAAATTTCTCCCTACGGTTCGTCGTTGTCTTCGTCGTCGTCGTACATAGGATGGCGGAAGAGTGCGACGCGCGTCGCGATGAAAAACGTCTCGAGCCTGTATATATCGCGATGTGTTTTCTCACATATCTCATATGCAGTGAGTATATTTTCTCACTTATCTTGATCGCATGCGGCCTTCTCTGCAAGGCAAAACGTGTCTGCTGGCTCGTAACCATGGAGCGCGCGCGGCCCTAATGATTCGAGACATTATTTCAGCCTCGAGAGAGAAAATCGACATTTTTCCGTCACCAGATATATATCGCATATAAACCAGGAAAGGGAGAAGATAAGACGATTGAAGCTCTGACGAGTCTGGAAAAGGATTTGTCATATTGCGCGAGGAAAATCAAATGGACGGATTAAAAGCGCTTACCTCGCTCCCCCATAGCTTTAAGCGAATGTAGGTCAACTATGAGAGAATTCATATACCTGTAATTTATCCTTTCTGCCAAGAGAGAGAGAGAGAGAGAGAGAGAGAAAGGGGAAGGCTTTGGCTTTTGGTCGGGGGATAAATCCCAGGTGGAGCTTTAATTATTAGAAGCGAAAAGGATGAAAAATAAAGGAATCGACTCGGCCACGCTTGAAGTATTTAAAAAAGTAATCCAAAAAAGTGCGAAACGTGCCCGGCACTTCGTATTTGTTCTCGTTGCCGGTCGTTTTTCCGTCAATTCCGGTAGAAAAATTATTCATACAGGCTCTCGCGCGTACATATAATTTCACGTCGTTTGAGCACTATCTAGTCATCGATGCCGCTGATTCGCATATATTAAACATCGGAATCGCACAGTCGCCGCCGCGGCGGCGACACTTGTGATGCGTGCCGTATATCGAATCTGCTCAATGAGCGTGTACGCGCTGCCTACATGTGTGGGCAGCACATCTCTCTCTCTGTCGCTATGTTATATGCATGTATTTATGCATTGATTGAAGTGGCTCGTGTAAACAAACAAACCGATACATCCAATCAGGGCTCGAGGGGATGGGGTCTGTGTGCTATGCTGCTGCTACCTACCTACGTGCCCCGCACGAAGGGGTCAAGTTTTACGATCGATTCCTCGACGCGCTCCGCGAGCTCACGTAATGCCTTTCGTTAAGGTTCGAAGAAGAACCGGCCGCAATGGAAGCAACAAAAACAAAAAATCGACGCACATGTAGCTCCGCGCGCGCGCGGGCGCGTACGTAAACACACGAGCAAAGAGAATGAGCGAGCGAGCGGAAAGCTCAAAAGTGTACTTTTTAACGAGTGAGAAAATGTACTTAGTTAACGGAGTACAAGGCCTGAATGTATATGTGCCCGGGGGAAAAGTCGTTAGTCTGGGTACTTTATGAAAGCTTGCGAGAGAGCTTGCGAGCGAACGCGCGCGAGTGTATAGTCGTGTTGATACCCCGCAAGCTTAAGTATATGCAATCAAGCGTTGGCATTTTAAGCCACTGCACACATTTTCCACTTAAGAATTTCTTATTTATGTAGCGCAAGAAGTAATAACGATATAGCCAAGCCTCGCGGGCGTGTACCTTAGTTTCTTGTGCTTCCCTTCGAGCTATACGGAGCTTTTTTTATCGATTCTTTTACACGAGAGCAATCATTAAAACTGTTTAGCGTAAGTTGCCCTTTTTTCATCGCGATAGGTATACCTTTTATACACGGTATCGTATCTCGTTCGATTAATCTGGCGGAATAATAAACTCATTAAGCTCTCGTGTAACAGTGCCCCACCAAACCCCCTCTCGGCTGGCGCGTCAAATTGTTGCGCTCTCGTGCTCGCGCGACGCCTACATACATTTGAGGTGATTGTTAAAAGCTTTCGCGCGCGCGCGCGCGATTCGGACTGATGAACAACGCATTCGTCGATGCTGCCGCACTGTACTGGCTCTGCTGCTGCTGCTCATGCTCTCAAATGGAGCGTGTAAAGCGCACCCAGGCATAGGGACATTATCTCGAATGTGTCATGGCTATTGCATTCGGCGCCCGGCAGTAGCAGCAGCATTTGTTAAACGCGTGTCTATGTACATGTATATATATATGCAGCTATATGCGCACTCTATATTTACAGGTCATGCACACGTGACGGACTTCAACATCGCATCGACGTTGGAAAAGGACCAGCTCGCAACCTCGTTGTCGGGCACTAAACCATACATGGGTGAGTTTATCCTTAAATATACACATATATAAATAATACGAGCTTTTAGTGTTGCACTGAATTTTTATTATAGTCGCCACGACTTTGGGGGGTCATGATATAATGTAGAGCTCAATGGAGGATCAGCGCCAATGGCGTTGAGAAATTTTCCGTAAACTAACGTGGGTCAGGCTCGGGCACTGCTTTAACGCGCTGCCTCCCCACCTAGACGTGACTCGCCCGTGAAAAGTATTCATCCTTTGCGTGAAAGCTGATATCGCGTCGGCAGACGTCGCGTGTGCGTATACGACGCAAACGACGTGGTTGCTGGAGTAGCGGTGAAATTTCCGGAATGTGCCAAGTGTTTATATGAACGAAGACTGTAGATACACATTCGCTCACACACGCACACACACATAGACACACGTAGACACACAGCTGCTATAGATTTTAGCCCTTGGAATGTTATTGGATCCGGGTTATGTGATAGGTGCAGTAGTCTGTGTGTGTGTCCGTGTGTATACGTATATGCCGTGAGTTCGACGGCGCGGTGAATTTTCGCTACCTTATACGCGGGCAGCAGCAGCAGCTTCACAGTCTTTTGACCCTTACTACCACCCGGGCGCACTTCTACTGCCACGCTCGTTTTCGACTGCTGCTGCTACAATTCTCCCAATATATAACTGTAGCTTGTTACCGTCTCTCAAGCGTATACACACGTTGAGCGCCGGAGCTATAAACTTTTCAATTTCATTTCATACCATTCTATATATATCTATCTATTTACTTATGACTCACTTTTGCTCGGGGGAAAAAAAATCGAAAGCTCCTCTCTCTTCCTCTCTCTCTCTCGCTCTATTACGAACGTCAAATGCAGAACCTCGGATACTTTTATGCGAAAAGTCCGCGAGGCGCATTTGTACCCTCTATACGCTTGAAGCCTCGTGTAGCCCATGACAAATCGTGGAAATTTGAATTTTGCATTTTTCATCGACGACGAGCGGCAGTTTCTCTTTTCTCTATAGCTGCCGCTGCCTCGCAGTTCATACATCATTAAATTTTGCAAAGAACGAAGAAGCGGCCATTCAATACTTATATGTATATCGTATATTATCGTACTGTCTTTATATTGGTTCCTTTATACCGTAGTAGTGCGCCGAGCTGAATTTATTCCTCGTATACATCGATGATGTTCGTCCGAGAGAGAGAGAGATATATATATTATAAGTAAATCATCGCAAAGTTTGACCCGAGACAAAAGAATAAAGAAACAGGTCAAAGTTGGCTCAGCGGGCGGCGGCGGCGGCGCCAAGGGACAACCGTGGAAGAATATAAAAGCTGAAAAGAGGGTAAATGAGCGGTTTGAACGACGAGGGAGATGAGAGAGAAAAAAGAGAAAAAAAGGATAGAAATAAGGAGAAAAGAGCTGCCTACGACCTCGTCGTCATCTTATAATATCTTTCTTTCCTCCTTTATATATAGCCATAATTTTCATTCTTTTATCAAATTCTCTTTGTTTTGCCCTGACCTTGCCAAACACCTTGCAGTAGAAATAACACGCAGCGACAGCTCGGATTTTCTCTCTCTCCGCAGTAGAGTAGATATATTCGCCCCTCGCGACAACAAAAACCGACTATAACCGGATTTTTTGCAGCCCCGGAGATCTACAAGTGCTCATGCGAGGAGTTCGGCGTGTTGGGTTACGGCTTCGCCGTCGACTGGTGGAGCCTCGGAGTGCTGGCCTGGGAGACTCTGGCGGGCTCGAGGCCCTTCGCCGTGCACGCCTCGACGTCGTATCGCGAGGCCCTCCAGCTGCTGGCCAATCGTCCCGAGCCGCCGAGTCGCTGGTCCCAGGGCATACGCGACGTGATCGAGCGCCTCCTCGCGATCGAGCCGCTGGAGCGCTGCTCGACCCTCAAGGAGCTCAAGCAGCTCGGGCCCATGGTCAACATGGACTTCGAGGCGGTGCTCAAGAAGCGAATCAAGCCGGCCTTCACGCCGCCCAAGGACCATCTGAACTGCGACCCGACCTTCGAGCTCGAGGAGATGATCGTCGAGACCAAGCCCCTGCACAAGAAGAAGAAGCGCCTGGCCAAGCAGAGGTACGGAGCTATGTATTATTTTCTTTTTTTTTTTCTTTCTTATTATCGCACGTCGCGCGAGTGCGAGAGCGATGATTGAAATGAAAATAAAAGGGACGCGGCTGGACGGCTGCAAGCACAGCAGTGCGCGCTCAGCGTAGCGCCGCTTACGTGGCTGTAGGACAAACTGTCTCCGACGTGGATACGACGTTCCGAAAACAGACTTGTAAACTCGCGACAAAGTTTTGTATCTTATTTAACTTCACGCACGAGCGAGTTTCGTAAAAGTTGTACCGAGAAAAATATTATTATATATAGATATACATAAGTTTCAAAAGATGTCACCGCTCGTAGGGCTCGTGTGCCAGAAGAAAAAGAAATTTTTGTCTATTTTTTTTTTCTTTTTAGCGAACTCGTCACCGCGGAGGAAACAAAAAAGAAGAGGGGAAAAAGAGAGAGGGTAGTTAAAAAAAAATTGCTGACCTACGTTAATTTTCATTTAGAAATATACGAAATACTTGGGTTATTTTTCAACTAGAGCGTGACGTATAAACTACACACGTGCGCGCTCGCATGAAATACCTGCATACATACATACAGGCCGCTATATATTATGCTCTTGACAAAGGACAGTCGTCGGGGTAAAATTCGCGCGCCAGCTCGTAATTACAATATTCGTAAAACAAATAAGCGGCGGTGGCGGCGGCGGCGTCGGTGGTGGTGGCTGGCTGGATGGCTGGCGTTGCAACGCATTGGCTGAGCAGAGCAGTATAAAGCAGCTAACGAAGGTAGATTCGCGTTTATTACAGCGTAATTAATAGTGCGCATGCTGCTGCAGGAAGAGAGCGAGAGAGGGAGAGCGAGCGTGGCGCGGGACAGTCGCCGGGGCCGGCCGTATAAAGGCACCGCGCGCGACCATCGACTCGTTGCCGCCGCGGAAGGAGAAACTTTTTTAATGACGAGAGAAATTCTAAGTGGGCTCTCTACCCCCAGCAGCAGCAGCTATGTAGTAGGTCAGCGGCACTCGACGGTATGTTCGTGCGTATACGTGTGTGCGTTATTATGTACAGGCATCGGAGAGTGCAGGCGCTAATGAAGGAGCCGCTGATCGACGCGTTTCGTCATTATAATAATGATAATAATAATGATATAATGATAATCGTACGACGTGAAATGTGATTTCTCTCTCTCTCTGTCTGTTGCAGATCGCTGATCCGTGCCGAGTCGCTCGCGGACGAGCACACGATGCAGCATCACGCGCAACAGCAGCAGCACAATCAGCATCAGCAGCAACACAATCAACAGAGCCAACAGCAGCAGCAGCAGCAGCAGCAGCAATGCAGCCAAATACCGATAGGACAGCTGAGCGAGCAGGCATCGATCGAGCTGCAGCTGCAGCAGCGGCTGGCCTTCATACCGGAGTATCGCGTTTACAATCGGGAGCGCGAGCTCGAGCGCCAGGAGCGCGAGCGCAAAGAGCGCCAGTGGGAGGAGGAGCTCAATACTGCCATGAATCGTCCCGAACCCTCTGCCGCCGCTGCCGCTGCACACAGGTATGTCTGTGTATCCGATCAAACGATCAATCCGCACGACTATGATGATTATTATGATGATGATGATGATGATATTATACACCCGGAAACCTAATATGCGTCGAGATATATAAGCTGTATCATCGTCGACGTCGTTGCGATCGCGTTTATAAACGTATATAAACGCGCTGCTCGAACGATGGTGAAATTTGCAACACTTGCGCGAGAGTCGATGCGATGGCTGATCGGCGTTTATAAGCGCGCTATATCTTTCGCGAGGGATAGGAATTTCGAGTTGATCGATTCGCAAGCTCGAATAAATGCTCGACGATCGCGCATTAAAAAAATTGCGAGTCGAGCTTTCGGGCCGGGGTTGCTGCTACCTACCCATCGGTCCGAGCGAATTCCTCATCGATAAATTAGCAATACGTATAATCGTCGTCCTTTTAACGTAGAAAAGTTAACTCGATATACTACCCCCCTGCTGGGCTCAAAGTGGAGTTTACGGGAGCACTGGGTGGGTTCAACGATCTCTCGGGCGCAAAAAGTCAACCCTTTTTCTTTCGTTCCTTTTTTCACGGCCGAAAGTCGTGACTCTCGTGCGCGCGCGGGGCAGTGGTATTGCAGCATGCGGGGGACGAGATGCGCGCGGCATATCTTTCGAAAAGCTGCGCGGATATAGGTCGTAAAAGGTATAAATTGTAATTGCTCCACAGGCTTTGCGACCTGGATTATACGACTGTGGCGCGTCCGTGAGGCAGAGAGCTGTGTGTGACGCGCGTTGCCTTTTCCCCCTTTCTCTGAACTGTAGCCGCTAGCTCTGCACAAACGAGTTTTACGTTCCTTCTGACACGCGGGGCCTGCCTGCCTTTAAACCCGTAAATGGACGACGAATAAAACAAAAAACGCGGCCGAGAGAGAGAGAGAGAGAGAGTCGAGAGCTATATAACACGCGTAACCCACGGCATGGCACGTGTTTAGCCTAAAACTCCGTCCGCGCGCGCGCGCCGATAACCCGGGAGCTTTTAAAGAATTTCTCTTTCAACGCTGCACTAGTGTTTGCCATGCACCCGCTGCGGAAATAAATGAAAAATATAAGCCAAAGAGCCGTATATGTATACGCGGCCCGGCGTGCGCGCAGAGGTGAAAAAGAGTAGCAGAATTTTTCAAACGCGAGAAAATTTGATTGTGAAATTCTCAAGGCAAAAAATCGAAAAACACGAGTAGCGCCAGTCGACACGCGCTATAGTAAATTACCGCTCTGCACTCGGGGTAACGCGCGTATACCTACCTACATGACGCACTCGCGCGCACATAAGCACAGACAAGCAGGCAGCAGTGGCGAAAATTGGAAATTCCCTGGAATCGAGTCTTTTTTTTATCCTTTTTACTTTTCGTATATAAAAATATATATATCACGCGTCAATTTTTTTAATTCGTTTTCTCAATTGCGGCAAACAAATTGGATTTTCAAAATTGAAATTCGCACGCGTTTACACTATATATCGATAATAAATAAATAGTATTGGACGATCGTTCGCGTGCGTAGATGTAGCAGCAACAGCAGCAGCAGTATATACAGTATATACTTTGAAGCTGCGTCGAGTCTTGATGAGCGGAAAAAAGCGTTGATTAAATTTCGCCCTGCCAATGGGGAAATGCGCGAGTAAACAACTGTTGGCTGCTGAGTTAAGGCACGTCTGTGTATACACATCGGACTGCAGCAGCAGCAGCAGGAAGGAGGAAGGAGAGATATCTTTGGCTTTTACACGTGAAGTTTGCGCATCCTTCAACGTCAAAGTAGGAGCGAGAGAGAGAGAGAGAGCTAGCGAGGGATGTAGCGTAGCTTAGTTGTTGCTCTTTGGCAATTCTAAATCGAAATTTTGACCGTAACAGCTGTAGCTGTAGTACTATACCAACGCAAAGCAGCGGTACTCTCTCTCTCTCCATGGGCCGCGCCGCGCGCCAAGCTATATCGAACTAAACTAATTCTCCAAACTGAGCTGCTAAAACAATTCCAACTTTCGGACGAATTCGTTGATTTGACTAATGCGATTACGGACGCGAGCACGGCACCACCTCTCACGTGTACGCGTGTACGAGTCGTGAAGCTCGAGCTTACATTACTGCCAAGCTACATACATAACAGTAACATTTTTCAAGCGAGCCAGCCAGCTCGAGAGCTCGAGAGGCAGTGGATTTAAGGAATAATATCTCAAGCAGCCGCGTGGCGTCTCGACTTTATCCTCCTCCGCTCGCGCTATTAATATTCGTCGTGTTTCGTTGCTCTCGCGAGCGACAGTTCCCATAAAGCCGGATAAAGCCCCCTAAAATTCCCGTTTATCGCGCGTCGTAAATAACGCGCATCTCGCGCGTCGCGAGAAAAAAGAGGATTCTCGATTCGAAATTGAAAAAAATCCTCTGGACGTAGCTTGCAGGAATGTATGACGAAAAAAAACTCGCTCTCGTGTCCACAGGTCGTTCGAGCCGGAGCAGCAGTCCGCGGAGCAGAGCAGCGAGCAGCAGCAGCAGCCGACGGACGGCCGATTGAACGTGTCGAAGGCGAGCGTGCGGGCGCGCATAAGCGGCTCTCCGCATCGGAGCGTCGTCGCTGCTAATTGTCCGCCGCAGCCGCCTCCTGCGTCGGCTAGCGCCAATCCTTCAACGGCAACGACAACAGCAGCAGCAGCAGCTTCGACGCTTCGGCCCGAGGAGAAGCTCGACTTCATCGACGCGAGCCCCGAGGCGTCGGCGAGCTCTTAGGGCACGCCGATAGCCGCTCGCTGCGGCCGCATCGTCGCTTGTCTGCCGCCCCTGCGTCAGTTGTGCCCTTACCGGGGGCCACCGCCGCCGAGCTGATCTGCTGGTGCGCTGCTGGTCGAGGCTGATGATAATGCGTCGCATAACTGTGCGGGCCCGAAAATGGCACAAGCTTTTTCCTGCGCACCTATTGACACATGTATAGCTGCGCGCGCGAAATCAGAGACACCCGGAGAGCTTTCTGCGAATAAAAAGGATTATTTCCGCGAGCTCGGGAAATTTTCTGCATATAGTGAGATTTTTCTATACAAAAACAAAATATTATAATTAAGATATGTTATAATTCTATCAAAGACCAAAGAAAAGATTTGAAACACTGCACATTTTATATGGTTAACGAAACAACAACAACAAATCAATTATGTATGTATAAATATTACTCGTGAGTAGCCCATGACGAATGTACTATTACAACTATCTAGAAACTTTTGCTTGCCGAACACTCTATTTATACGTGGACCAAGAGCAATGTGTTTGATATTCATGAATATGATCGATTGTTTCGCGAATGGGAAATATGCAATAAGTACACGGTGACAACACACGGAGCTGTATCAAAACCAAAAAAGTTTTTTTACGTAAGCGAATCAAAAAAAAAAAACCAAAAAAAAAAAAAATAGAAAGAGAGAGAAATATATCGTGTATGAATACCAGAGGATTTGAAAGTTTTGTAGATAACGCGCCCAGTGTTTGCGGGAAACTCCATGGACTAATAAAGTTGAAACTTTTATAGTATATATAGATTACTATTATCCCCAAATTCGTATTATATTACATGAAATATATGGCTGGCTTCCTGAACTTTTTTTTTCGTATAATTAGAACGTAATACTGGACATTAATCCTACTAGTGGCTCGAGCATATAATTGTTTGAATTTTCACTCAACTTCTCCATGAGATTTATGAGAGCATTCTTCCTAATTGTAGGTACCTATTATATTGTTCGTTGAATTTTAAACAACAAAATACAATCGACTCTAAGCCAGATATAATTGTTGAATAAAATCGACTTCGGTTGTTTATGTATAATTTTCACCAAATCAAATACTTACCTCTTTAAAATAATCAAAACAGGAATTGCATTTGTTACTTTTATATAGTTTATGTCACTCGACTGCGCGCGAGAAGCTTCGGAATTTCTAAAATTGAATTGAAGAAAAAAAGAAAGAAGATATTTCTATACAGATATATTCTATAAATATAGTACTATATAAGACCTTGTAAGCACTAAAATAAAAAAAAAGGTGACTATCTTCGTAGAGGATTTGAATCGTACTTACTATCAAATTCGGAGTGTTAAAAAAATATCTGTGTAAACTCAATTTAGTTGAGCGAAAAAAAAAACAAATTATTATAAGTTTATTTGATGTTATATTTGTATATTCAATAAAGGTTTATTACTGAACATTTAGACACTGGCCACGTATTGCATTTGCCCCTCACAAAGCCCCTCAACGTCCTAATTCTAATAGATTTATGGCGGGCAAAAGTGAAACTCGTCCGTTTTTTCCTGGCCGTCACGTCGCGATCGATTTTGTTTTCGTATTCTGCGAGAGATGAAAATACACGGCGCGCAAGCTGCTGACTCCATCGGTATGTACACGCGCCCAGAGAGAGAGAGGAAAATAAATCGCTCGAATGCCTGACGTATCGAGCATAATATGTGAAAATTCCAGCGTAAGTAGAACGTTTTATTCAGTCGGAAAAGCTCGAGCGAGCGAGCGCTCGAATCGATATACCCACCTTCGTAATCGGTAAAAAAAATAAGATTCGCGCAGCGTTGACAGCGAATAAGGAGAAAAAGAAGAAAAATGAAATAAGGTAAGGAAGAAAAAAGTAGTCACAGACACGTTCACAAGTGGCTGCTTATTGTACATCGCGTTTAATTGATAAATGAAAAGCGAGCTCAACTCCGGGCTTGCACTCGTTACCGAGGCTTTTCTATAGATATAACGTGCCTTTTTTTCTCTACCGACTTATTCTTACTTCGAGTTCTTTTTTTTTTTTTACATTTTCTTTCTCGGGCTCGTTTCTCTCGCCAGTTGTTTGAATCTCTCTTCAGCATTTTCGGCTTTCTTTTCTCGCTCTCGCTTCCTTTTTCCAGACTTTCTTTTTTATTTATTTTTCTCTTGACGCGCAACTACTTTGATCGTTTATAAATATTAAAGAAAACAACTCGGTATATCGATTGCCGGATAGTTTATGCGTCTGTCTCTGTGTGTGTATGTGCACAAGAAAAATAAGGGAGTGTATTTCACGGTTCGATTGGGAAAATCGCATCTTTTGTACTAGGTGCACGTGCAAACAAAAAAAGGAGAAAATTTAATCAGTTTATGCATAAAAGCACGAATGTAAGGAGCTTATTTCTTGTCTCTTTCGCGAGCGAATGAAGTACTACTCCGAGCGCAAAGCGACGATTCGACCGGAGCCGAGATAAAAAGTACACGAGAAGTCTGTAAAAAATGGCTGTTTTTTTTCTTTGCTATCGCACTTTTTAGTCTACGGGCTAAGGGCGGTGCGATCGAGTAAAAGAGAAACAGAGAGAGAGAAGAGAATCGCGACAATCGAGTAGTACGAGCCCGTATAGCGATCAGACATACAAGAAGGCGTCGACTTCAGGAAGAAAGAGAGACACAGAGCATTTATTTACGGGGGCCAATGATCGTACACTGTTTACAGTGTTTGTACACGAGCGCGAGCTTGGGCGCGTCATGCGTTTGCACGAGAGAGGAAAAGTTTAGCTTTTCTTTCAGCGCAATTACCGGAGACGTCGCGTGCTCGAGAGAGAGAAAGAGAGGCAGTGAAAAGAAGGACGACTACCGCCTATAATAGGAGCAGTCGTACAATATCAGCGGTGTTGCCAGGGGTAACGCTTCATCACTTTCTGCGTATATCGCGTATAATGTACGCGTATAGCTCTGTGTGTGTAAGTGTGAGTATATGTATCCATTACAGTCGTGGGTGCAGCGCGGAGTCGGCGGCGAGAGCTATCTTTGAGCTCGCCCTTATACCTCGAGCGTGTATATACTTGTATCAAAGGAGTATATAGGTGCAGATACGCGGAGTTGTCACCGCCGACGCGCATCTTACAACGCACACTTTCTCTGTGTGTGCGTGTTTCTCGAGGCAGCTGCACTTTATTTTAACGATTCCAGCCATTATCGAAAAATACACCTATACGCGTCGTCGTCGTTCGTATCATGACGCAATTGCACGCGTGTATATAACAGCGTACACGTATTATATATAAGTACGCTTGGCTGGGCTATTACTTTTCAAAAAATCATCCCGTTTCCCGTGTACGCGTGTGTGTGCGAGCTTGCACAAAGCCCAAGGAGAGAAATCTTTTTCAAAGAATTTCTCGTTATATACACGATCCAAGTTGGTTCGTTCGCTCGTTCGCTCGCTAGCTCGAGGGCCGACTTATTTTTCCTCTCTCTCTCTCGGTCTTTCTCTCTTGCACACCCTCTCACCCTCTCTCTCTCACGGGGATTTATCAAAATTAGATAAAGCTCTTCTCGCCGGTGAGCTTCTCTCTCTCTCTCTCTATCGAGATACCCGAGACCCCCGACGCGCGCCTGTAAAGCGAGCTTGAAAGCCGAGGCTCGACTACCTGCTCTACTGTCCGTTGATTTCCTTCCGCTTCTCTCTTTCTCTCGCTCTATCTCTGCTATAGTCTCTCGCTCTCTCTCTCTCTCTCTCTCTCTCTTTCGACGCGAGGCCAAGAGAGAACACTAACGACGTGCCGAGCTCGGAGCACACAGAAAACGGAGCACAGACACGAGGGGCCGGGGTACGCGCGTAAAACAAAATGCGTTAACGTACGAGCAGCTAATTACTTCCTCCTTAGCTGCGCTGCAAAATATTTATTATATATATACGTGTACGTACGAACACGATGCCCGTTAGACCGTTAAAGCTGTGTATCGTTTTTCGTTGTTTTACTCGACACGCCCGAGAAACACTACTCCGAGACGTTAATTTTTACGAGCTACGGGGTGGCGTGGAAGGAAAAACACTTGGCCAACTGTCGAGGAAAAAAAGTGTATTTACGCGCAGACTTGTCGATTCTTAAAACGAGTAGCTTGCAGCAGCTCAGCGCGAGAAGAGAGTATTTTGTCGCGCTTAGTACAATGTCAGCTTATACACGTCGACTCGTATATATATAACGCGTATATGTAACAAAAAAAACATCGGCAGCAACGGCGCAGATGAGGGCGGGAAAAAGTTATTTCTTCGCTGCTGCTGCTGCTGCAACGCGCGTATTACAGTACGAGAGTAGTACGTGGTGGCAGTCGCGCGTTACACCATATACGCGCGATAAATATTTCTCACGCCTCGCGTATGCTACTACTACCACTACTGCACTAGTTGCCGGACGCGACATAATATTCCTTTTTATTTTGCGACACGTTTTCCCCTCGTAAATACGGACGCCATATAAGCTTCGCCTTCTTTCTCTCTTTTCCTGTCGCCGTTGTTCACCTGCAGCACGCAGCATTGCACACGAATGTCTGCGCCCTATAGCCCATGTATATGTACCTTATACCGTATACGTGTGCGCGAGTGCGGCGGTACATGGGCTAGATATTGAAACGTATATATAATACGTATATACGTATGTTACGATACGAGGCTATAGGGCAGATTGAAGCTGTACACATTCGCGAATGTGTGTACAGTGTAGTACATCGCGCGCGCATGTAAGTGCAGCAGTGCAGTCGACGATTTCGTATTTCACCGAGTGGAAGAAGTCCTTCAAAAAAATATGCTGTACGCATTTCTTGTGCTACAGTTGCACGTGAGCGAAATATATGCATTTTGTCTGCTCCCTTTACTCCCCTACCATTCGACCCCCTCGTGGTTCTTTTTTTCTACTCAACCTCCTATATCTCATTCTCCTCCTCCTTCGCCTATTCGCCTCGTGCAACATGTATATCGCATTCTTTCATTTCACCTTATACCGTGCACTGATTTTTCCTAGCCCCCGACACAAAAAAGGAAACGTGCAGCAGCAGCAGCACGAAAAAGAGTTTGCACTCCGATGCATTGTATTTTCCCGCTTATACTTCGTGCTTCTGCTGCTCCAAGTTTTTTGTTTTATTAAAAAAAAAAAAAAAAAAAAAGAAGAAGAAGAGATGAAAGAACGAACGCGCACACACAGAAAACTAGAGGTAAGATGAGACCTCGCTTGGTTTGAAGTCGTAATACCAAAAGTAGCTGTCAGAAACAGATAGAAATTAGATATAACTCGCGAGAGAGAGAGGGAGAGATGCGAGTCTTTCTGACCCATATTAGCTTTGCCATTGATGCGGTCACACTCTGGAAAAAGTTTATTTTTACATGCAAAAAAAGCTCTTCGAAGTTTACACCAAGATACATATGTCCCGCTCGTGTTACATAAACAAAAAAAGAAAAAAAATTTTTGAATTTACTTTCGACCCGAGCTGATACCGAGTGCGACTATGTATGAGCATACAGCTGGGTCCCCGGGAGCTGGACACGACTCTCTGTTTTGATAAAAAAAAAAAAAAAAAATCGGAAACATTTTTATGTTGGATTAGTACGTCGTAACATTTAGGAGGAAAAAATCTATCCGTGCGCGCGCGCGACGCTCACATGTATACGGGACAAAATAAAAACGCTCGGGACGATATTGTGTTGCTCTCGGCTCATGGAGCGCGCAGTTTCAAATTTCCTGCATTTTCTTTTCAAAGCGAGAGAGAGAGTTTCCATTACCCCGTGCGCGCTTCAAGACCTTTTCTAATCATTTCATGCGATATCCGAGAGCTCTCCAGAGCTGTTTGGATTTATGTCTGNGGGGGGGGGGGGGGGGGGGGGGGGGGCGCACAGTGCGGGAAAAAAGGAATATTTACTTTTATGAGTGAACACTGTGCAAAATTCAAGCGCGCGCGAGAGCATACATCTCTCTCTCTCTCTCTCTCTCTCTCTCTCTGGAAAGCTGCAACAGCTCAAACTGCGAATATCGCGGAGTAAAACAGCGTGTTAAATTTTATAGCTCCTCCCCAGGCCGGTAACAGTGTAGCAGCGGCAGAGGAATTCGTACAAAGACGAAATACAACTTTCGGAAGAATCGCGACAGCTATACGCGTCTTCTATATATTCCACTGCGCGCACTGTCTGAATTATACTCGCTTACACGCCCGCGCGAGAGAGAAAGAGAGAGCGGATAAAAAACGGATAGCTGCCGCTCGGGTGACTATAATAAAAAGTTCGTAACGCTAAAAACTTCTATACTCGACGCCTATAGAGCTATAGCTCGCTGCTTCCGGACTCGCAACGCACGCCCCCGCGATTATCATATACGCTCGGTGCACAGAGTCAAATTTCGGCAAGACCTCCTTGACTCTACCTCATTATATACTGTATAATTTGTAATAATTACGTTTAAGCTGCTTAACTGACTTGATATATACTTTTCTCGACTTTACCCCGAAACTCGAATCATTGCCAGCCCCCCGCTCTGCTTATATACATTCGCAACGCGTCTCTCTGTACTCCTCCGCTGCACTGTGTAAATCTTTGCTGCGGGAATTCTCGTACTTAGCATGTATACGCGCGTCGGCCGCATGTCTCTTGAGGGCGAGCCCTGCCGCGCGCATAGATAAACATGCTGATATACACGATTATTCGCTTAGTCAGCAGCGGCTTGTATGTATATACGCTCTATGTACACCTGCATCTCCTTTGAATACGCAGCATACACATTGCATGCATGTGTATATCGTATATATGCGTATGCTGCCCTGTTGCGCCCGTAATGCGTTTTAATAAGCACAGCGCATATGGAAATGCGATCGTCTGCCTGGGCAAATTGCGAGAGTCGATGTCGCTCTCGTTTATTAATTGATTAATGCGCGGCGGCAACGAGCAAAAAAGAACATTTACTTATCCGCTCGTTTGGCACACATTCGAGAAAGGAATGTAAAGTACAAGAGATCAAAGCGCATTCGACCGAGGTTAATTACGACGTATTATCCCCGCACTCAACCGCGTGCGCGATATTATTCGTGTCCAATACAGGGCCCCTGCTACGCGTATAACGTATGTAATACGATAAAGCTCTCAAAGAGCTGCAAGCTCTAATCAAAGCTGAAAAAAAAACCCCGAGCTGATTGCATTCTTTTATTAATCGCACATTTTTAATTACCCTTTGCCTGTGGCGAAAAAATTTTTTTTAATTTTTTTTCGAACCCCCCCTCCACCTTCGATTGGAAAATCGCTCTTTGAACTCTCTCTGGTGCAAGCACGCGGTTGAAATATGTATGCACGAGCTTTTAATACAGAGAAACTCACTGGGAGAGAACAGCAGCAACACGGTAGAGAGAGAGCAGAAATTGATTTGCCCATGTATCCACACCGCTCGTGAGAGGAGAAAAGCACGGGAATGTTTTCTTTTTTCTTTTTTTTACTTCATTTCATTTATTTTTATTTTTTATTTTTTTATGAAGTATACGCGTTTATACCACTATAAGGGTTGTAGTACACACAGCGGCTAGTTTAGTGGCGAGCATTATTTTTTACCCGAGTTTTCGAATGTTGCCTTTAACCCGTAATAGCCCGTCGATGCGGGTACAAGATATTTTATTGCTTTTATCGGTCGTATTTTTAATGCTCGATTGTGCGTGTCTCTGGATACACGCGACGAAAAGAAAAATGTTGCGAGATGATCGGGAAAAATGAAAAGGAATCTTCTTGCATCTTTTCTCAAACATCACGCGTTACAGGTGCCATATATTTATGCCTCCGCGTGAATGGGAAAAATAATTTGTTCAATCGTTTGATCGACTCTACGACATGTTTTGTATTTTTTCGAAGCTTGTTTTATTATTGCTTTCAAATTAACAGTACAAGTAACAAATAAATCTTGATAAAAATATCATTTTAACATTATTGTTAATCAATACTGTATAATTGTAATTGCTTGATGAATCTTATTTCTGAATACGCTTACATAATAAAACATTAATCTAATTATTATTGAAGAGTTATAATAAATCTCATAAAACTTGATTTCTCATTTGAATATTCAGTATTGAAACTTTGTATTTTACAAGTTTTCATAGATGTAGGCACCTATTTATTATGAAGTTGTACGTATATGTTTACTGTTAAAGCTACTTTTAGGCACATCAAGATTAAACGTGAAAAATGCCATCTTGGATTTTTATGAATAAATAAATAATGCCTCGGAGTAAGTAAGAAGTGTTACTATTATAGAGTATTCTTCGCGTCAATTCTGTGCAGAACGAGAATATAAAGTATTTTAGTATATATCACAAATTATAATATCGTTAAAAAACTCGATTTTAATTTAATTTACTATTGACTACACATAAAAGTTAATTTTTCGCATACCAAAATGTTCTAATCTATTTGCACTGTATTCTTTTTAAAATTTGATTGAAAAACTATTTTCGATATACATATAATTTTTAGAGGTATCATAAAAATACAGACTTTGAGTAAGAAAAATAGTTTTTACGGCTAAAAATCTAGACTATTTGTTCCTCGACGATTGATTTCATTTTAATTAGTATGAAGCAATTATTTCTATTAAGTAAAAATGCCTATCACAAGTAGTTTAATACTCATATCCCAAACTTTATCGTCATATTCGCTAATCAAACATCAATTGATAAAATTATTAAATAATTCATCTTCATTGTAAGTAATCATTGTTAACAAAAAGAAAAAAACGAAACAATAAATAATTTAATAATCTAGACTAATAGCAGGTTAGTCGCAATTATAAAAAAACCAGTTAAATGAATAATCTCAAGCCATAATCATAAAGGCATTGAAAGCAAGCATATAAGAGTAACAGTCAATTTTTGGCCTGCAGAGTAAGTAAAGTGTAATTTTTGATTAATTTAAACGGCTGTGACATCAGTCACCTCGATGCGGGTGACGGGCTCAGCCGGCTCAACGACAATGAAACTATTTTCTACAGCCTGCTGAGCGTCGGTCTCGCCGATTCTTAGTTCTCGCAAGTTAGCAACGATCGAATCGACTTGCACAGGTTCAGGCTGCTCTTTGGAATCTGGACTTTGACGTTTACGAAGCTTACCAAAGTGCAAATAACAGAAACCTCGCTGACCGCGCCATGTGATGTTGGAAGGTTTGACACCCCTTTCGTGCAGGGCACTTTTTAGGTCCCGTACGCGTACTGTGGATGCGATGTTTGACAATTTCAAAGAAAATTCGACGTTTGCATTGCGGATTACTTGTGTTCGTTGCCGCGGCTTTTTTGATTTTGTTGGTGCTGGAGATTTGTCAATTTCATTCTAAAAAGAGTTGAAAAATTAGTGAAGAATTATTACAGGAATAAAAGAGTCGTTCATACTTTATTAATATTTTCATTGTTTTCTTCATTTTCATCTTTGACTTTTTGTATCTTCTGTTTTCTTGGGTAAGGCTTTCTCCTAACATCTTTGCTCTTTTGATTTTCTTTCAAGATATTGTCCTCAATAGGTTTTTTGCGATTTACCTTGGGCTGTAGTTTATTTATGATTTGATTGATTCGTAGCTTCTCTTGGGATCTAGATTCTACGTCAGAATCTTCCTCTTTCAATGTTAAATTGTTTCCATCCCTAAAATTTAATTCAAGGTAAATAAATTATGTATGCTTGAAAATGTTATCAAGTTCCAATCAATTACTTTTCATCGCTCTGCTTGATTTCACTCAAAACAGGAATAGATTCAAGTCTTCTCTTGCTTATCATTGACCAAATAATCTCAGTAGGTTTGTTTAATTTTGGATTAACAACAATAGTTTGAGTAGGTGTTACAATTATATCTACAGGTACATCATGAGGGCCAAAAAGGTCATTAGGAAGATCATCTAAAATTTGACAGTCATGCACTGTTGTTACAACCACAGTTTTTTCATTTACAGCTTTCATCTTAGACAATATAACATATTCGAGATCAGCAAATCCTTCACCGTCTCCAATTCTACACCCAGATTTGTTCACACATAGCGATCCCAAAACAACCATATCAACCTATTTTAAAATTTAAAAATAATATTTTTATTATCTATAAGCAAAAATTCAAGAGTATAATAACTATAGTATATACAACGCACCTTCAAATCTTTAGCATCATATCCTACAGGAGTTTCAATTTGTTTAATGTTATGTCTAGTCACAGCTTTTTTAGTTTCTTCATTGGGTAATCCAGAAGCATTTTTTACATGAAGAAAGAGTCCAGATAATAGTCTAGGTCTAGGTACAAGTACTTCCTTTTCTTTAAGTAATGATCGAAGTATCACAGATTTTTGGGGTTTATCAGGGCTAATCATTAATAATTTGGCATCTTTGAATTCATCTAATTCCATAAGTCTTTTGGTGGCATCAGTAGATCCCAAAAAGCAGGGAATTCTATTACACAGACTGCGATAAGGGCTGGCAAGCTTTTCTTTAGCCATATGTACCCATATTTTCTCTCTGAAGGTTTGTTTAGTAATCAATTTTTCCACTGCAACTTCTGAAAACAATTGAATATTACAGGTAAGAGTCGTGTATAGATAAGGCTGTATCTTGCTTTTATAAAAAATGTTATCTTCTTAGAGTAAATATTGAAGATGAGCCATTTTAAGTTTCAAGTATTTTATAAACAATTTACTATGAACTAATTTTAAGACTTGAAAAAATGTCAGCCAATTTATTGTTATTTAAATAACAAGAAAAAAAAACATTAAAAACAATTGCTTTCTTATGTATGATAAAAAATTTCAGATTAGTCTACCTTTAACTTCTTCCGACATGTCGAAAAACTTTTCCTTTGACAGCTTTACGACAGCAAAAAGTATTAATTGTGCTTAGAAGAAGATGCTCGCGATGATGAAATGATGAAACGCCACTTTTTTTCTTTTCTCAATGCAATAACCTCACTGACACAATGCAGATTTGCAATGCAACTGCCTCTGGAAGCGTCTCTCGTCGATCTTCTATTATTAATCGATACGTGTATCGGGTAAACGAACGAAGAACGAATGTAAAAAAAAACCTATCACACAACCGTCCTACTTCAGGCGAGTCATTTTTAAATTTTGCCGGAGATCTCTGCGATCTCTCTCTCTCTCTCGCCGTAGGTAATGACAAACAGCTTTGCTGTCACGTACGAATGGACATAATAATGGCTTTAAATTTAATTCGTTTTGCTTTTTATTTTTATCGCTTGGAGGCGCACGCGGATTTGGGTGAACCTTGCGAAAATTTGCGAATTGAGTCGATGATTCGCGAACTACCCAGGGCTGTAGCTCCGTTGCAGAATTTTGCAAGATTTAATGATAGAATGGTTTGCTTATTTTTCAATGAAAATAAAAAAAAAATTAGAAAAAAGAATGATTTTCTATCGTTAAATGTTTTGCTAAAATTTTCGTTCCTTTGACATTTGCCTGAAACTCTCATGTTTCTTATCATCCGATAATAAAAGCAGAAGCTTCACATGCGCAGGGCGAAAGACGTCAACGAACATTGACGTTTACGTCACTGAAGCTCCAACAATTTCGGCTGCTGCTAGCTCGAAGTTTTCTTAACGTAAGGGAGCTGCAGCTTATTATTTCCCAATCCACTGGAAAAGCTTCTAATTTAAACGATAGCGAAAACATAATGGCTTTGTTGGCGCGTAATATTTGCAGGGTGTTCAATCAGGTATGTTCATAGCAGCTGTCATTTATTTACTGTTTTGCGTGCAATTCGTACTGTTAGTTTGACATGACCCTCAATGGCCAAAGTATGGTTAGAAAATTTACGCAAGGGCCAGTACAGATATATCGTAATATCAGTCCGCTAGGATGAACGAATGACTTTTAAAAATTATAATAATTTAATGACTGAAGGTAGAGGGTGGCAAAAATAATTCTTATATTGGGCTTTAATTATCACGAGTATGATTACAAAACACTCACGCGGGAGGCATTGGCCAGGTCATATGATAACTTGTTTAATATTAATAATTGATTGAGACAAATAATACGATCTAAAGAGAAATATTAATATATTTTTTGTTTCTAGGCCCCTCTGAAAAGTTCCGCAAGAAGCATTCATGTTGGTGCTACGCGTTTTGCAGAAACTGTAAGTATTTATTCCAATTTTAAGAACTTAGCGAGACTTGAGTTTAGTACTCAAAAATAAAATTTTCAATTTTTTTAGGACGTTGAACCAGATCAGAAATTGAAGTGTACTTTAATTCCTGGAGATGGTGTTGGTCCAGAACTGGTTGTATCCGTTCAAAATGTTTTTAAAGCGGCAAATGTACCAGTGGAATTTGAACCATATTTCTTATCAGAAGTCAATCCAACGCTGAGTGCTCCGTTGGAACAGGTTTCCAATAGTATTGCTAGGAATAAAGTTTGTCTCAAGGTCTGAATATAAGTCCATTGTCTATAAAAATAAAAATTTATTACAAGTTAAAAACTAAAAATGAAATTCCTCTGACAGGGTATTTTGGCTACACCAGACCACTCTCATACTGGTGAATTGCAGACATTGAATATGAAATTGAGGAAAGAACTTGATCTTTATTCAAATGTTGTACACGTAAAATCATTGCCAGGAGTAAAATCTAGGCATCAGAATGTTGATTGTGTCATCATCAGAGAACAAACTGAAGGTGAATACTCAGCTTTGGAGCATGAATCGGTTCCTGGTGTTGTTGAATGTTTGAAGATTGTAACTGCAAAAAAAAGTCAGAGGATTGCCAAATTTGCTTTTGACTATGCTGTTAAAAATGGTAGAAAGAAAGTTACTTGTGTTCACAAAGCCAATATTATGAAACTTGGTGATGGCTTGTTTTTAAAGTCATGTTCAGATATTGCCAAACTTTACCCAAGGTAAAGAAATATATTTAAATACTTTTGTTCTATCAATTTATTAATATCAACTTTATCATCATTTATATTTTTAATTAATTTTAGAATTCAATTTGAAACAATGATCGTTGATAACTGTACCATGCAAATGGTATCCAACCCTCATCAATTCGATGTTATGGTTACACCTAACTTGTATGGTAACATTGTTGACAATCTAGCATCAGGATTAGTTGGTGGAGCTGGTGTTGTTGCTGGAGCCAGTTACAGCCCAGAATGCGTTGTTTTTGAACCAGTAAAAATTAATTTTATTAAATGCAATGAATTACTTAGAAAAAAAACAATTCTAAAACTTCAAAATTTTTCACAGGGCGCGAGGCATACATACTCTGAAGCTGTTGGTAAAAATGTAGCTAATCCTACTGCTATGATTCTGTGCTCTGTCAAACTCCTGAATCATTTGAATCTCAGACGTCACGCTGAACAAATCAGAGACGCATTGAATCGTGTCCTGAATGACGGTAAACATCTAACTAAAGATTTGGGCGGACAAACATCGACCACTGAATTTACCCATGCTGTGATCAACAATCTTCGTTAAATAAATTTTAATTAAATCAAAGTTTGAGTCAGACTCAAATCTGTAGAAAATTAATTGGACTTCTATTGTTGAGAAAAAATTGTCTCCTTTAGAAATCCAATGCAATTTATAATACTATGCGAACTATTTATGGTTTTTGCAATAATATTCATAGAAAAGTTCACATGAAAAATGATGACGATCCTCTGCTTTGGTTTGAAGTGTGATTTTACAACTAATAGTTATTAAATGTTAATTCTACCAGACAAAGGTATTAAAATGTTACAAAGACCAAAGCTCTGTAAAATATGGATGCAGTTAAAAATCAGTATAATGACTTTGTTTCTCATCTGTTATTTAATGTAATTGTAACATGTGAAATGTAATATAACGTGGATTGCGCAATACTCTTATAATTCATTTTTTTTTTTCAAAGTATTATTTCAATTGATCATTTATAGTAGTCAAAGCAAGTCATTAATATATTTTAGAATTATTCATTTGTATCCATAATTAACTCTCGGTAATAAATCAACAAATCAACATGAATATCATTTTCCAATTATTTCATTGTTCATTTCTTAGTTTTTTTAAATTTTATGAATACTTAATTAAATAAGTTCATAGCCTTGTATCTGCATTCATTTCTTTTTAAAAATGATTTGATAAAAAGCTCTGTTTAAAATGCAAAATCGGGATTGGTCAATAATAAATAAAACAAAATGTTTCAAAGTAAAACAAATTTATTTTTACTACTATATAATGTTTCCATTCAATATGACATACGCTTTTAATTAACAATAATAATCGTTTTATTTAATAGGCAGCAAATTTATACAAATTATTAGCCTTTTTTATAAGTATTCCCTCATTATTTAATCTATCGATTGCTTGTACGATATCAGCATCTGATATTCCTCCTTTTTTAGCAATATCTTTTAATTCTTCCATAGGATATAAGTGATTTCCTTTTTTGGACGCATCTTTTTTAATCAAGTTGTACAAATTTTTCATACTATTTTTTGAAGTCTTTGTTGTTTGTATAAAACTAGTATCAAGTTTTCCTTCATTCATACCAAGTACTGTGTGCTGCATCAATTCTACAATATCTTGAGCATCTTCCTCCGTAGTTTCTTCTCTCAAATCTAATTTAGCTCTTGCTTCTGTCAATCTGATTAGAGCTTCTAACTGCCTATTACATGGAGTTATGTTTACAGCTGAATCCATATTTTTTCTTAAACTTAAATAATATTTTTGTAATATTACAGCAGATTCTTGAGTTAACTTTGGTTTAACATATTGTCTTGCATAAGCTATATATTTGCGTAAAATATTCATTGGTACAACTTCATTAGAATTTCGAAATGATGACAAACGCCGCTTAAGTGTACTAGGTTCCCCGCTCAGTGGTCTAGTTATTCCATTGAATTGTGAATTTAGACTTTTTTCTTTACCTGTGTGCATAAGCATAACATGATTGGATAAGAAGTTGTCCATATCTTTGTCAGGTTGATCCAACAGCAAAAATAATAAATCAAATCTAGATAGTAACGGTTGACTCATGTTTAAATTGTTATTGAGTGTTTTAGATCTTTCGTATCTTCCACCTATGGGATTAGCAGCAGCTAAAATTGCAGTTTTAGCTGGTAAAGACCAAATTACTCCTGATTTTGCAACACTCACACTTTGCTGCTCCATTGCTTCTAATAACGCTTGATGTTGAGTTGGCATTTTATCAAATTCATCAATGCAACAACATCCTCTGTCAGATAGAACTAATGCACCAGGTTCAAGTGCAAAATCATTTTGTCCCTTTTCTCTAATAAGAGTAACTGTCAAACCAGAAGAGGTGCTTGAATTTCCAGAAACATAAATTCCTTTTGGAGCCACTCGAGAACAAGATTGAAGCATTTGTGATTTGCCCAATCCAGGGTCACCAACAATCAATATGTGAATATTATCTCTTAGATTGGTTTGTTTTGAAGTACCTCCGAATAAACTCAGAAGCAGTGCCATTTTAATTATTTCATGACCATATATTCCAGGACACAAGGAATTGACTAATAGTCCTAATTTATCTTCAGTTTCATGAATATTTCGGATGCATTCATAATCATCTTGTGTAAATTCCAAGGATATTCCACCACAGTTTTTATTTTTACTGTTATTATTCACAAGTGAATTAGCTTCCAAGTAAAGATCAGATACTGGATTATTTTTTATTTTTCCATTGTCTGTTCCATTTCTTTTTATTATGCCTGTCAAAGTTATATCATCTCCAGGAGCACAAGAGTCTACTAGATCATCAAATAATTCTACATCCATCACTCTAGGTACTCTTCCTTGATCATCAAAATCTTCTCCAAAATGTTCTTGAATTCTTATTGTTTGCATAGGAATAGTTTCTACATAAGGAGAAGCTAAATCTGTATCAAATTTCATTGCTCCACATATATCACACCTTTTTTTTGGTGTGTAAATACCATTTTTTTGCCTTACAGTGTAAGGTATTTTACATTTGTTGCACAACAAAACTAATAGAGAGGCCATGTGGCAAGATTTAGTTACACGTACAACGCATCCTCTTATACTAATAAATTTTCCATAATAATTAACTTTGATATTTTTTAGAGGTAAAAGTGGTTCAAAATTTGTCAGTTTAACTCTGATAATAGCATCTTTTCCTTCTTGTTCACTTTTGTCATTTGCATCATCTTGATCATTTTCATTGCTTCTGTTATTTCCATTTTCTTCGTTATTATCACCAGCTATATCATTTTCATTATTTTGACCAGACCTATTATTTCTTGGGATTTCGTGATTTTTAACTTTGTTAACAGCCAGTCCTAGACAGCTCAATACATGTTCAGGATTATTTTTTAACTCTGATTTGAAACTAGGCCAATGTTCTGTAATACTTTCACTTTCATATAGAAGATTAACATCAATACTAATATCCTTGTTAACTTCAAAATTACTGGACATTAAAATTTCAGGATGCTCTTTGAGAAATAATTCAACAGCTCGAAGTTTAGGCAGAATCGGCGATGTCTTTTTATACTCGGATTCGTCGAAATATAATTTCCAACCAGGCCAGGGTATATCTCTTTTGGCAATCCTACGTTTTTTCGGTTGATTAGCATCTGCATTAGAATCGGAATTCGCCTGCGAATCCTCTTCATTTTCTGAATTTGCACTTGTCCTTTCTTCTGTGTTACCTTGATTATCGTCTGGCTTCTTTCGCTTTTTCCATCGAGGATTCCAATTTTTTCTTCTCGGATTATCACTCATTTTTTATATAGATAATCTAAAATTAAATCAAGTTTCTATTATCGAAAGCATGCGATTTGGAAGGATAAAAAGTTTTCTTTCGCGCGACCCACAGCGGAGGACTTCTTTGTTTTGTTGACTGACTTTTAGCGGACTCGCAAATAGCAATTTGCCCGCGATTTTAAATGTTTGCTGCCAGCGCTACGCGGCTGTCAAGTGAAATAATCACAGCTGATACAGCTGTGTATACGTATCAAGTATGCAAATTTTGCAGCAGGCGTCAACTGCTCGTCGTCCAAGAGACCAGATTTTGATTAAAATTAATTGTTGAATTTTTTTTATTAAAATGGTGGCCCAAGAAGAAACTTTTGAATCAGTAACACAAGAAATTATTTCCACTAATCTCGACTTGAGAGTAGTTATACAGGTAAACATTTTATATACAAACAATATGATGTCAAAATTTCATCATTATCTTATCTTAAAAATTACTCTGTCAATTAGTACTCAAATATGTAAATTTATTAAAGTCAATTTAATTTCAGGATATTCAAAATTGTAATGGTCCATTAGAAGTTCTAAATGATCTTAATGCTGTAGGAAGGGAAAAAATAGCAAAATTAAGAGAAAATATAGAACTGTTAGAAAGAATCACAGAACGACAGCGTGATGCTAAGAAAAAAGAATCATATTTAGCAGAAATTAAAAATTACAGAGCTCAGTTCACTAAAATGATGATAGCATTTAGAAGAGCAAATGTGGATAGTGCCAATGCAATAGAAAAGTTGTCCAGAGAAGAACTTTTTAATGGATCTTCTGAGCAACAGAGCATATTGAAAAAAAGGAGAGATGCAAAGAGTGCAATGCAAGCATCTAACAAATTAACAGAAAGGCTTTTGTATATTTCAAAGAGCCTGGCAGAAACTGCTCAGCGAAGTGACATTGCTTTGGATACATTAGGTAACTAATTTGTTTCTGAGTTAAATGACTAAGTTTTTTTCAAAAGCTGTATTTTTTTATTCTTGCATTGCAGTGACTTCATCAGAAAAAGTTTTCAATACCCAGAAAGAATTGAAACAGCAGCAACAAGTTATTTTACAATCTGGAAGGTATCTAGATAAATATGGTAGGCGTCAGATCACAGACAAATTTGTTATAACTGGGGGATTTATATTTTTTCTCGCATGCGTATTTTATGTTTTAAATAAAAGATCATTCTTTTAATCTCAATTCGTAGTTAAATTTACATTACTGAATCAAATCAAGATTAAATTGTTTAAAAACTTCAATTTTATTCGTTATTAAAATTCAAGGATTTTAACTATCTACATGCATGATATTATAAAAATGAAATAGGGAATTAATGTAATTTATATTTTTTTAAATTTCCCTGTACAGAATTAAAGTCAAATTATTTATTAAAAAATTAGGCATAAGAAATACGATTTTTAATTAGATAAAAACTATTATTAATTATTCGAATAAATTATGTATGAACTAATGGTTTATCTAAATAAATACAATTCGTTTTCGCTGCTGCTAATGTGCTGTAAAAAATATACGTGTATTTGCGTTGCGAGCAGCGGCTAATCGTTATATACAAGAACGTGATAACAATATTGTAAATATATATACCGTCAAAAGACTGAAAATGTTTTAAAAGTAATTTTTAATTGAAAATAATGATTGAATTTTAGAATAAATTTTGTCGCATTGATGATTAAACGCTAGAAATTTGCCCGATATTTTAGATATAATATGTTTGTATATAATGTGTACTTGAATATATACGTAAAGAACTGATGTAATGATACTGTAGTCATTGTGATCTATTAGCGTTAAATAGATCGATCTGTTGCATATTAATTGCCCAATAAACACATTTGTTTCGTACTTGATGCAATGATTATTTCGTAGTTCTAATGTACAATATAATATTACTAGTATTCCATATCGTCGAATATCGAGAGCTGATTGAATATCACTTCGTCCTAGAAAAAAAAAAAAAAATTAAACGCGACAGTTACGTGAACGCCTGTCGATGACATTGATAAATTGACGCGATGCATATAAGAAAAAAATCAACCTACATTTCGACAACCGGTGAAAAATTCCTCTCTCGTGATGACGCCGTCGCGATCGTGATCCATCTTGTCGAAGAGGCGATTCACGTGTCGCTCGACGGCCGCCTCGATCTGTTGCGAGCTGCGCACCATCTCGTAGATGGCCGAGATGCTCGCGGTCATGTCGTTTCTCGTTATCCACCCGTTGCCGCTGACGTCGTAGAGCCTGCGCCAACGAAATTCGGTATGGTATCGAGAAATATGAACGACTATGAACGGTTAAAAAAAAAAAAAAACGTACCGAAAGATCCAGGCGAGCTTTTGATCGGCATCCCCCTTGACGATCACCGCCAAGCCTTGCAGCAGATCGGCAAAGCTGACGATGCCGTCCTTGTCTTGGTCGAAATTGTTGAACACCAATTCGGCGTACCTGCGAGAGTCGCCGAGTGGAAAAAGTTTCGCGTAAGCGGGCGTCAGATCCTTCGTCGTCGCCACCCCGCTCGGACACTGAAAATCGTTTTCGCTATTCTCAGTACTTGATCAGTATGAAAGTCAATAAAAAAAATTCGATAGTCACCTGCTGCTTGAAAGCTCGATAAAGTCGACGCACCTCCTCGCTCGTGAAGCCCGTGCGATTGGCCAGGGACGTGAGGCTTTCCCGAGGTAGACACGTCAATTTTCGGGCCATCTCGTCCGCCTCCTCGTCCTCGTGAGTATCTTCTGAAGATTAATTGTCATTTTTATTTTCGAGAAAGAAAAAAACGCGCGCGAGCTTGCAAGCTCGACTGGCTCGTTTCTAACAATAGAACGAGAAAAGAGAGCCGAGAGGTGTGTATATCGGTGCCATTCAAAGTTTTGAATGGAAACATATCGTGCCACACTCGAGTGCGCACTTGGAAAGCGTGTAAAAGCTTATGAAGCGAACGCGCTCTTTGATCTGCATGGCCCGATGGACGCGCGCGCCCGCTTTTTCGCACAGACATTTATCAACGACGAAACTTGAGCGATGACAGTCGAGTGCAGAAAAAAAACAGCGCAGCGCACACCTCTTCGAACATTAACGAGAAAAGCTAAATTTCGCGCGCAAACGAGTCCAGTATTTAGTACACAGAACAATGGCGCGCATTCATTTCGTCGAATGAACCGAGTGCATTGACGCGAATTTTCGTATTATATACGGACTATTCTTGTTCTTGTTTTGGCACACATTTTTAATTGGAGCTCCGAACTTTAGATAATGATCAAAGAAGTTTTTCTCGCTACTCGAGTCGATTACGAGCTTCATTCGAGTATAGAGCGCAGGAGAACAAGAAGAAGAAAAAAAAACAGCTAATCACCACCCCTCGAACCCACGCTTACCCGTTATTTTTTGTATGCTCCTTTTGACTTTGGTGATGCTGCGTCTCATTCTTCGGGAAAAAACATTATTCGGCTGGTGATGAAGTCGCTCTTGACTGCCGAGATCTCCTAATCCACCTTCGGCGGCTGCCGCCGTCGCCGTTGACGACGACGACGACGACGACGCTTTTTTCCTCATCATGGTATCGAGGATATGGAATTAGAGAGAAGAGGGTAACGAGGAAAAGCGGATTTACGAAGTGATCATTGATTGGACTATTTTTTGTGCTCTTTCAACGGTACACCCTCGTCGTTCATCACGTCGCGCGCACTACATTCGTCGGAGCTTTTTCAGCAAGTAACGAGAGTGTGTATAATTTCTCACAAGGTCAACTTATTACAATCTATTAATGCACACGGGCTTTCACTTCGATAATTAAAAAAAAGAAGCAGCCGAGGGTCGAATTTTTACATGAATCGCGTTGGATCGACTAAATAATCGACAAAAAATAATCATGTAAAAAGCTCTTTGTATCACCTTCGAATTATTTATAGTCGCGTAAGGTTCGAAGGGCTGCAAAGCACGGGCCACTTTTCGCGCGTGATTTTATCGGACGCGCGTCTAATAATGACATATTTAAACTGAAAAAGAGATTGAATGTCGTGGAAATTGTCGATGGTTTTCATCGATCAATTATATCCGCATAAATGAGCAATGTTTTCTCAACGAATGCAGCAGGCCATATGTACATTATTGCTCCGAACCGTGAAATTGTCTTTACACTCTATTAACGATAATATTCACACAGACACACATAGACGCACACATTGACGAAAGACGATAAACTAATAAAGGCCATGTATAGAAGAGCTCCCGGAGCTAGTCGTTGGATGAGACGAGACGCGCCGCGCTCAAGCGACAACTAACGGCTCCGCCACGCCACGCGATCTTGAAAAGCTCCCTCGCCGTCGCAAGCTCCATACGCGAGAGAGAGATTCGTATCCCCCATCGGCGAGAGTCATCTACACAGGTATATCAGCGCTGCGCTGCGCAATCGTTCTCGCCTCTTCGCGCTCGCTCTCTCACTCTCCCGACCCAGCAGCGACGTTCATTTCCGGTTTTGTATTTGCAATTTCTTTCGATTAACACCGCGGTAGCAGCAGCAGTGGCAGTGGAAGAGCTCGCGACGAGCAGTCTACTCCACCCGGCCTATAGAAAATTGGCCTTTGCTAATTACGAAATCATATACCGTGCGAGTCGATTTTTTTTCTCTCTCCGCTGTTTTCTTTGATAAAACCAACCGCGCGCTTGTTTGCTCTGCCTCGTACCCCAAAGTACTCCGCCTATCAATCGATGCACGGAGATCGAGAGTAGAATGCATTTTTTTCTCCTCAATACGTATACGCGCACCTTGTATTTACGTCGCGAGTAGTAGCGCGAGAGAGAAAAAAGAGCGACGCGTGCTTATTGTATTATTATTTTTAGATCGCGAGCTTTGTGATTCAGTCCTTGATGATATGCTTTTTTCCCTGACGCGCCGAGCAAAAGTATATAGTGGTAGTATAGTAACGGGAAAAGCCTTTCGATGCCTCGTATAATTTTAACGACGATGTGATTTAGATCGAGACACGAGTCGGAGGAGCTTTTGAATAAACATAACGAGCGCGCGCGTATGCCACGATGGAATAACATTTGCGCGTGGCCCACCACCGCCGTCAACAAAGCCGATTAAAAATAACATTTACAAATTGCCCGCGCGTAAATTACAACGCGAGCGCGCGCGCACACACGGGCGGACGATTGATGGCTTTTTATACGAGCGACCCGCGAAAAACAGATTGCGGTAAATAGTCACGACCGGTCCGAGTCTTTTTCCGGGTTATCCGGAGTGTTTCGCCTCGTATTTGCAGGCAAGGTAAAGCAAAACACAATTTTTATTGTAAAACGTAAACGTTTATTCGTAGTAGCAATAAAAATATTATTCGTAGTGTTGCTATAAACATTATACACCGTCACATGATTAAGTACTAAAACAGTACACGCTTCTGTCGATTAATATATTCAATATATGTACACTTTCGATTATGAAAATCTTATTGCATCATTGTGACTCATATCAAACGACACGCCTAAATAATTAATTGCTTGCAGATAAGGTATTATGCAGGAATATGTTTTAAGAGTATTATAGTTCACTGTTTTGGTATTCACCAAGGTACAAGTCACTCTTAAGATAGTGAAATAATTAATCTTCGAATTAGTAATCTCGTAAACGATTAGAATCAATGAAACATAAAGCTTCTGCACCTGTTATATGTACATACGTATGACAAGATTAACATGTTTATTTACATGTATGTACATCGATTTTCATTTGGAGACCTAAACATTTTATTTTAGATCCTGATTATCTTAAACTAATGTAATTATAAAAATATTTTCCTAACAAACGTAGAAAAGCATTCTTTTGGTCAGACCAATGAAAAATTTCTTACAATCAAACGATCAGTCAATGGATTCGAGTCTCTAGTCGAATCATTTTTTGTGTTTACATTATTTTTAAAGAATCACAGAAATTGACACAGTACAGCTGATTTACAAGATTTTTGGTTCTGGGGACTTTTAAAATTCGATATGATTCCAATCGAACTTTATGCTGGAAAAATTCCAGTTTTTTTCTATTTGTCAAATTGCAAATATACACATTGAAAAATAATAAATAAAAAGTAACTGTGATCAATTTCATTAACACAAATAGTGAGAGTCGCGTGATATTATGTACATTACATAAGCGAACTTATCGGATAAAAAGAATCGTCCCCAGTTCCATCATTTCCAAACTTGTATCAAGCCATCGGCACTTCCGGTCAAGATGCAGGTTTTCGACATAGCAACTGCAGTTACGGTGTCGTGATGACCAGGATGAGATAATTCAGGTCCTTGGCCACCTTCCTCGGGGACACCACGTCTCATTCCTGAACCATCACCGGATCCAGTGCCAGCAGGCGCACTAGCCAGTACTTCTTGAACTACGTTAGTTCCGTCGATGAGCCTTTGCCTATAATTAATGCACCTTATTGAGAAAAAAGTACCAAAGTATCATAAGTTTTCATCGTAAAAAACTTACTCGTAAGCAAAGGAGTTCGGTGCCAACGAATCATTGGGACCCGGTAAAACAACGTGCGATTGACTAGGGGTTTGCAGATTCCAAAATCGTAATCTCATATCAGTGCCACTGGCTAAGAGGAATCCTTCGCGATCGATGCAAGCCGAGTGCATAGCGCACACGCTGTGACCGCCTTGAGAATGACTCAATGGAGGTGCGCTCGAAGCCCAGAGCACCATTTGTCGGAATCCGGTCTCTAGATTCCACATAGAAATTTCGTTATTGCCTTGGACGGCTGAAATGATCCAGGAATCTTCGGTCGGATGTGTAATAAGCTTACGAACGCGTGCTCCTATTGACAAATATAATATGAGATTAATAATCATTAATTATTGTGAATTGAATTGTCTTTTTTTCTTGTCGACAGTAAACGTACCGGTCGGATGTTTGATACTAGCGATCGGCAACTGAAATCTGAGGTCCCAGGTCGTATGAACACCCGAGCTCGTGCCCAAGGTCAACCACTGTTGATGATTGTTTATGCAAAAAGACGTGATTATGCCGTTCCTCAAGTTGTTGTCCAACTTCCAGGCCGTGCCGGGCTGTCTCAAGTCCCAGCCGATCACGGAACCGTAAATGGTCGCGTACACGAGAACGGATTGCGAACCCGAATCCAGATACTGCAAATCGACGGCGTTGCCCTCTTCGTCCAAGTCCAACTGTCGAGAGTGCAGGACGGTCATCTTGCTCGAGCTCGGCTCGACGCGACAGACAAACACGCTGCTGGCTTGATTCGTGCTCGCCGCGCTGGCCAGCGATTGACCCTGCTCGCACACAACCAGGCCTACCAAGGGTCCCGCGCGATGGCTATAGGTTTGCCTAGAAGAAAAATTTCCACGTTATTGCAACGATATGATTATTTTATTTTTCTTTTCGTTGAATTACTTCGATCGATTGGCGATGTTTCTTCCTTCCATTTTGCTCGCGTCCCATATTTTTATGCAACTATCGGACGAACTGCTGGCGAACAAACTTGTGTCGGGTATCGACACCAGCCGATTGATCGCAGCCCTGTGCTCGTGCAAGTAAGCAATCAGAGCGCCTCGGGGCTTCCAGGTACTTGGTAACAATCTCGAACCTTCGAAGTTTCGGACGCAACGCGTAAAAATCAGGCATAATGTAAAACTTTGGATAATTGAAAAAAAAAAGTATCTTACCAGCTTGCCAGGCAACGTTGTCCGCCCAGTGTTGAGCTCGAACGGCCGACGCGTGTTGTTCCTGCTTTCGGTAGGTCAATTGTCGCAGCTCGAGCCTGCACGGGGCGCACCTGTCTGCAAATCCATAAAGCGTCGCGACTGTCACGTAAAGTTACTTGTGTTTTCAACGAGTCACTCGTATTTAAGAGAATATACGTGCACCTCGCTCATCGTACTCTTATGTGTGTGAAAGTTAAATATTTCGTCGTTCTTTCGATACGAGCTACTTACATTGAATATAGGAACGCTCGTGCAGCGAATGATCATTGATGCTATTTGTCGTGTCCGATAAACTGTGCTGTGGCGACAGATGAATCTCGCTGCCTTGAATGCTCTGACTCGGACTGTTGCCGCTTCCCGATTCCGACATTTTCACCCCCGATTGCTGCCAAGATTAAGTTCGTACGCTTTTGATTGACTCTTTTTTTTACCTAAACTGGTTATACGAACTCAAACGTACCTGACTGCTGTCTTGAGCTGCAAACATGGTGCGCCACTCTTGGTTCATGGACGCGTACGTCGCGGTGCTGTCCGACGATTTCCGATCGCTCTTCTTATAGGTCGGCATTGCCATGTCCGTCTTTGTATCAGGATAGAGCATGACTACATGATGACTAATTTTGTGTTTTATCGGCGCAAGCTCGATTCTACCGTCAACAATGAGGCTCGTCTGCGATGATTTGGTATTATCCACTACCAATTTGTACTTATTAATTTTTTGTATGTACGGCTTCATTACGAGCAATTGGTCTTCCATCGTCTCGGTCATTGGCTCGGTATTCAAGCGTCTAAATAGCTAAAATGCAATCGATTGATAAAAATATCCGTGCGGTAAATGAAGAAACACATTTATTATACTTACGTTGCGCAAAGGCGTACTCATTTCATTGTATTGAGGAACGATTCCAGAGTTAGCACTTCTCCTGGCATTTTGTCTTTGCTCGAGATGCTGGAAAAATTCATCGATATCGCTGTACCTGACGATGGTATCGTAAATTGTCCTTGGCAACGGTGGTACCAGAGCCTCGAGCAACAAAACCTCTTTTTCGACCTGCATGAGCGAGTGCTTCAAGTAGGGCTTCAATATGGGCTCAACTTTGCACATGACATCTACCAAATTGAGAATGCGCTTCGAAGCCGCGAATAATCCTACGGTAGCATGGCGTATCCACAAATTCGGATGTACGAGAAAGACGACGGTTTCCGAGAGCAACTGATATAGGGCCGCTTTATGCAGTAGGCCCTGTGACGTCAACACTGCCATTGCGTTGATTGCTCGCGTTACGACGAATTCTTCGGGGTCAGTGAGGCCCTGCTGAAGCAATGGCATCAATATAGGACTACAGACCCAACCAACGTAAGCAGCTACGTCGACGATGCGATCGAAAAACGAGCCTCTCAGTTCCTTGTCGTCTTTGTCGTTCAAAAATGTAATCACGTGACTCAGAATAACGTCGTTCGCTTTTTGTTTGCCAAAAAATTGGCACAGTTTATTGATACCGTTGTCCATTAAGGTTTGTTTTACCAGATTCTGCGGGTCCGTTAGCAATGTGGAAACCGATTGTTGAACCTACGATTTTCGACATTTAAAAAAACGTAGAAATAAAAGCTCCAAATTTTTTCTAGCATACCATTTCATGCAAAGTCTGGAGTTCCATGTCGTAGCTCGGTCGAGGAGAATCTTTGTCCACCGCTTTTGACAGACGAGAACTTTCCAGATATCTGAGAGCTATGTGCGCCAAATGCGCTATGTTCTCGGCGTAAGCCGCTCTCACGATTACGGCTTCGTCTTGGGTCAGGTGAGCCAATCCTGGGAATATGTACTCTGGAAATATATTAACATCGGTTGGTGGAAGCGACTTGACGAGGTACAGACACTTGGTAAGTGTATGTATTGCTGAAACTCGTACTCGAGGAGCAGGATCGTGCACCAAGTGGAACTAAAATATTTTTCATGTTATAAAATTTGTTTAAGTAGTAAACGATAATTCTTTTAATTGGTTTTACTCACGATAAAAGGCAAAATTCTGTCAAGTATTGTTTCATCGGAGGTATTTTCCGCAAGCTCGAGTAGAATCTCCAGCGTTTGAAGTTTAGATTGTGAGTGGTGTAGTCCTCTGATGCAAGATGTAACGAGTTGAGTTATGATTATCAGGGCCTCCTGACCTTCTACTAGACTTGTAACATGCTCTATTTTACCTTCTTCTTTCTGACTTTCACTCTTATCAACTTCAATAATGTCCGAATCGTCCATTACTAAACTGTGCCTCATTTCGTGTGCTATATCATCACTAGTTTTCGAATCTTTTAAGCTATCCGATTCTTCGTTATTTTCGCTTTGTATTTCTGTACTTTCCGTTCCTTCCCTTTCAGTTTTATTTTTGTCGCATCTAAACATGCTAGTGATGTTATCGATATCTTTTTTCAATCTTGCGATTTTTTCATCGGACGATAAGATGGGAGCAGTCGAAAAAATCTGCATGTACGATTGAAGGAAGCTGTAAAAGTATTCAGGAAAAACTGTGCCACGAGCTTGTGATAAATAAAGCTCTGCACTTTTACGATTTTCTGGATTCTTTTCGATCATTGAGGCTAAAAGTTCACGTATACCTTTGTCTTCGATTTTATCTAGATGCTTTTTAGCTGTGTACTCGCCATTTCTATAAGCTGTAAATCAAATTAAAGTTTCAAAATTGATGTATTTTCAAGTAATTTTAGAATTGATTTTGTAGCAGTCTAGAATAGTTTACCCAAAAGTTGAGAAAAATCAAATGGTGGATGTCCTTCATTGTACAGTTCAGTCAAAGCACATCCTGCAGAAAAAATATCCATCATTGGAGTCAAATCACCTGTTTTTAACTCTTGCTCAGGGAACAGCATGGTAGTATTGGGTTCTGAAGGTAATGTTTTTACAAAACGTTCAGGGGCAATATAACATGTTCTGCAAAAAAATTATAATTTAAAAATTTAATTCAAGGTTTCACTTATGACAATTTATACATACCTTCTTCTGGAAGTATCAAAAAAGTATGAAAAGTCTGCTGGATTATCTTCTGGTAAATATGTTGGTTTAAAACTAGCAAAGTCAGTCAACAGAACCCAGTTCCAACTGGTCATCATAATGTTTTCAAGTTTGATATCTCCATGACAAACACCAAACTTATGAGCTTGATGTAAAGCATACAATACTTGAAATGTAATCCACTTTTTTTCTATACTTGATAGAAATGGTCTAGTACTAATGCGATCATATAAAGAATACTTCAGGTATTCTCTCATAATAAAACCTGCTTTTTCAGTGAACTGCAAAATTATTTAACATGAATAATAGTTTGATCATTTAAAAAATCAACTTATTGATAAGATAAGAAATACTTACAATTACTCGTTGGAATGGTAAGCAGTTGACGGCTGAGGCTAGTTTTGTTCTTATTTCTTCCAACTTATCTTTATACGTGGATAAAGGCAATGTAGGATCATGAATGACAAATACTTTTACCACTGTCAGACCCTCTTGACTTTTAGCTCTGGCTACTTTGAAGAATCTGGTACTTCCCAGACTGTGAAAAATAATTTTAAAAATTATTCAAAATTTTTTGTAGCAAAAAAATGTAAATGATCTCAATATCTAGTATAATTTAAAACACACTAAAGATGTTCAGCTATGCAAATTTTAGTAAAAACAGGTTTTCTTATTATCTAACAACACCTGGTTTGTGATAATAGCATTGAAAAAGGTGTAGTTGGTAGTTGAGTAAGCAAAGGTAATCAATTGAAACCCATTGTTTACATTTATTTGCATGTCAAGTGAAGTACATTAACGAACCCTTTCAAGGTGTAATTTTTAAAAATGCAGTAATTTACGAACCTAATGTCAAATTTGAGATCGCCATGATCCTGGAGATAGTGTTCAACCGGGTATATTTGGCTCGGGGCGATCCCCACTAGCTGATTGCCCATGATGAAGTCGAAGGAGATGAGGTGCACTCGATAATAATAGTCCGAATCACAATGCAGCAGCTGTGGTGTTCGTCCAGACAATTAGTCGAGATGAAACTGGTGCAGAACGTCAATCAAGGAAAGTCACCACCGCTAGGTTACATAGTTCCCCGATGAAATTGAGTTTTTCCTTTGGCACCCACGTCAACGATAAATAGTGACGTTGACATCAACAAAGCGCTATAGTAATATTGCTAAAGTGCAGTGTATGTCCTGCGCGAGTCGATCTACTGCTGCTGCTGCTGTGTTGTTTTGCGTGTAAATATCTCGCCGAGGTTAAGTTTTGCTCGTCAGCTGTGCGCTTTGGAATGTATACATACAACTTACAAGTTACAAGTGTGTCAACGAGTTGCTCTCGCCGCAGGCGCGCGCTTTAATAATTTTGGCATTTAAAGATTAGAAAGTCGATGAAAAATTCATGAGGGGAGATACATTAGAGATATTGGACACAATCGTAATTGCGTTCGTAAAAGTGTGTTGACAAATTTTTCAAGGAATCGTTTTAGTTTGAAAACAGTGATTTTAACTTGAAAAATTGCAACATTATTGTAATTTCTACTTGAGCTGCATGGGGGCTTGGTAAATAGTCCTTTTAAAGTTGTTTTTGAATTGTAAACATTTCCGAGTAATTTCAAATTATATTTCTTCAAATGTAAAGCTAATCAAAACGTAAAAAATGAAGTATTTTCGGCTATCGCTCGTGACGCGACGTTATCTATACTTGACGTTAGTTCGGGCTCAAACAACGAGATTGGCGCACCCAAAAAACTTCCTTTCGTGGATTTTCCTTCGCTGCACGAAGTACTCGGTAATTTCCTGTTTTCGCTCAAGCCCGAACAACCAAAGATTAAATTTTCATTATGTCGCTTGGTGGACTGTGTTATTAAATAACAATGTGGCCGTTAAAAAATCCAGATACAAATTATGTCAGAAAAACATCATCGTGGATCGTATTCGTGCATAGTGTTGCTGTGACCTTCGCGCGTCGAAACAATTGCCATTCAAGATATCTATTGGAGTTAAGACTCGAAAAAGCTCGAGCTGTACAGGAGAAATAAGTTGTCAAGCCGTAAAGCTTCGGGCTTCATTAGCGAGAGCACGTGAAAATTTATGGGTTCATTATACTCGCTCGTGTTTACGATATTACATACAGTCAAGACGTATACGCGCATATGATTATATCGAAACGGGCAATTTCGAATCGGAATATGTCACCGTTACCATCTTTCCGTGCGATACTACTTGTTTCTTCTTTGGCTCGGGGAAAAACAATAAATTAACGCACTGCACGCGTCCGATCGTCTCTGCTCCGCGACCGCGTATCCTACAATATGCGTATATTCCATCCGCGTATGAGTGGGACGACATCGTCGTCACGAAGGTGATTTAAGCTCGTATGCATGCGTAAAATAGCCTTGTCCATTCGAACGTAAATACGCGTGTCGTATGTGTATCTCGTCATTTTATATACCTTATATACCCGAGCGAGAGGCTCGATCAGCGCGCGAAAATATTTCAATCGCGAGAAATATATATATCCTATTTATGCAAGCGCCGATCTGTTTTTTTCCGCGCGCTCGATGTTTGTTGTGACAGCAGCAGCTTTGGCCGCGCTCGAGCAGCAACAGCGACAAAGTCTTATTTTTGTTTATACCGAAATTCATAATTCGCCCGCAAAACAGAGCCAGAATAACAAAAAAGAAACAACAAGGTTAATATAATCCAGCGCGTATTAAAAGTTTTAAATGCGGGATGAAAATCTCGAGGCAGCGAAATTTCGGGGCAGGAATAATTGGCAACTCGCGAGCGCATTATAATATAGAAAACAAAATTACGTTACGTGCGTATTACTATACGGTTACTAGGCCGTGTCGGCGGCTCGGCGCGCGGCACACGCGGAGTCTACTGGAGTCAACGAAATTAGACTAAAAATACGATATACGTACAGTACGTACGTAGGTTTGTCTATTAAATTGTATATACACGTAAGACTGGCTACGGCAGGGACTTATTCCGGAACCTAGATGCGGAGAACACAGTGGCAAAGGCAGCGGCTATTTCGAGATATATCGTCGAGAATTAGCCGCAAAGATGAATCATTATATATTTCGCACGAATGTAGTAACGATGTTATCTGGTCGCGATGTCGTGTGTACTCGTACACGCGAGCAGCGAACGAGATAGATCCTTTGTCTCATCCTTATGACTGCAGAGATATCGCGCGGGAACCGACCGACCGCACACGGGTATGAGTCAGCCGGGGTATATAACGTAGGATATAGCGCGATTCGAAAAAAGCTCGAATAATCGTCACTCGTATAGCTGCATCTATCGTCGTCGAAGTAATGATAAGTGGCAGCTCGTCGAGTGATAAAAAAGCACACAATGCGCAGCGCGCGATCGATCTCGTTGGCTGCTCGCGCGCGAGATGAATCATATTTTGCGCGCACTTATATTCTCTCTCTCGTGCCACCTGAATCGCAATGCCGCGTGCTTGCGACTGCACATGCCACCACCTCTCTGGTTTTCCGCTCGCGTATTATAAAACGAGTTTTTCCAGCGACCGGCGCAATGTATATATGTACCTCGGTGCCTAACGCGCCGTTGCAAAACGTGAAAGTCCGTCATTCTCTCTCTCTCGCTCTTTCCAGCCTCCAATGAGCTAGATCGCATGCCACACTGTAGTACGTATTATATACTTGGCTGCGGTTGCTGCTGCTGCTGTATCATATACGTGTATATACCTCGAATGTAATTCGCGTGCCGCTTGTGTATATAATACGAGTGTGTATAAAAAAAGACCATTGCGAAACGCATAAAACAGAGTGGCATTTATAAAATGAAAAAAAAAAAAAAAGAAACAGCCAAGGAAAATACGAAATGAATCTGCGGGCGGTAATGGACTCTTTTTATAAGTAAACGTCACGAAATTACGTTTGGTAAACAATCGCCGTCGTCGCGAAATTTTTTTTTACTCTCGAGCCTCTCTCGTTCGATGATGATCGGAAAGTACGCGTCGACGCGAATACATTACAATACTAGTGGCAACATTTGTTGCTAAAGCTGAGCGAAATATGGTTATATGTTTATTTATTCATATATTTCGTACTATAAAATCAGAAAGATTTAAATGCGATTCTGAAGACTTAGGAATAAAGAAGAACCACAATATTAATCAATGACATATCAAATTGTCTAATTTATAACAGTTTGAAATACTTTATTTAACAAAAATTTAATAATATTTTCGAATTATCCAAATACATATGGGTAAGGCTCAGAATTTTTTAAATAAACCTGCGCTCGTATGTCACCGATCTTGACGTGCTTTTGGTATGTTATAGTACATAGTAAAAAGGTCCCAAAAACAAAATTTGAGACCCCCTCCCCCCTCCTACCCCCCACTTCCGGTATAAACGTCCATTTTCGATCTCTATTTTTTCTGAGGACATCCAGTAATTAAAAAATCTGAAAAAATTCATAAAAATACTTTTCAACAATCCAAACAACCTTGAATTTTTTCAGATTTTTGGAGTGCTTCAGGCCTTCAGAAAAAATCATTGAAAATTTTGAAAATTCATATACGGCGCTACGATGCAATACAAAGCCCGATCTTTTTTTCCACTTATTTTTGACATCAAAATACATAACCTCAAATTTTTTCAGATTTTTTCAGACAGAGCGCTGGCGGTTTTTAGCCGAAAAACGCCCTTTTTTTACGAAAATAATTTTTTTAGGGCGATATGAAGCTTTAAAAAATCTGGAAAAATTTTTTTCTTGTTTTTCAGGTCAAAATACATAACCTTGAATTTTTTCAAATTTTTTAATTGAAGGCGATAGCATCTATGGCTAAAAAACGCTATTTTTATGAAAAACGGTTCCTGGAACCCAGAGGTTCCGGTAAAAAAATTTGAAAAAATTTTTTTCGAATTCCTTGTCAAATTTTAATAAATTTTGACCGTCGCAAAATTTCGATTGGAGCTTCCTAGCTCATTCTAGAGCATAACAAAGATTCGAGCGAAATTCTGAAGAAATTTGAAAAATAATGTAATTGTGATGAACGTCTTCAGAATTTCGCTCGAATCTTTGTTATGCTCTAGAATGAGCTAGGAAGCTCCAATCGAAATTTTGCGACGGTCAAAATTTATTAAAATTTGACAAGGAATTCGAAAAAAATTTTTTCAAATTTTTTTACCGGAACCTCTGGGTTCCAGGAACCGTTTTTCATAAAAATAGCGTTTTTTAGCCATAGATGCTATCGCCTTCAATTAAAAAATTTGAAAAAATTCAAGGTTATGTATTTTGACCTGAAAAACAAGAAAAAAATTTTTCCAGATTTTTTAAAGCTTCATATCGCCCTAAAAAAATTATTTTCGTAAAAAAAGGGCGTTTTTCGGCTAAAAACCGCCAGCGCTCTGTCTGAAAAAATCTGAAAAAATTTGAGGTTATGTATTTTGATGTCAAAAATAAGTGGAAAAAAAGATCGGGCTTTGTATTGCATCGTAGCGCCGTATATGAATTTTCAAAATTTTCAATAATTTTTTCTGAAGGCCTGAAGCACTCAAAAAATCTGAAAAAATTCAAGGTTGTTTGGATTGTTGAAAAGTATTTTTGTGAATTTTTTCAGATTTTTTAATTGCTTCAGGCCTTCAGAAAAAATATAGATAGAAAATGGACGTTTATACCGGAAGTGGGGGGTAGGAGGGGGGAGGGGGTCTCAAATTTTGTTTTTGGGACCTTTTTACTATGTACTATAACATACCAAAAGCGCGTCAAGATCGGTGACATACGAGCGCAGGTTTATTTAAAAAATTCTGAGCCTTACCCATATATGATATTACAGTATCAAATAAATTAAATTCACGTTTGAAAAAAAAAAAAAAAAAAATAAATACATATATGAGGAGGGATATAACATTTATAACATAATTCAAATTACCCTATAAATATCATTGGGGTATAAGCATGATGTAATACTGCACAAAAATTCTGAAAACATTTCTGAAGACGTACTTGGGGACGTTAAGGGATGATAAAAATATTTAACATATTATAAATCTTTTTTGTTCTTTGCATTATATCATTTAAGTGCTTCCAACTCGATCTAGAGCATTATTTATTTATTAAATTTCTTTTTTATTTTTTTTTTTTTTTTTTATTTTTTTTTATTTTTTTTTATTTTTTTTATTTTTTATTTATATTTTTATTTATTTATTTATTTATTTAATCCTCCAGATACATATTGATACAAAAATTCTGATGAATATAACGCGAGAATCACGTAAATAGTTTAAGGGTTGATAGAGGGGTGAAAAATGATCGTATCGATTCCAAAATTTATACAGCACATCTTCGGGTCGCTAGAAAGGCACCATAAAAATTTGGACCCAATCGGTTGAACGGTTATTGAGGTATCGTGTTTACAAGGCCGTCCTGAGTTAACAATAGTAGGACTTCGCTTCGCTCAGCTAAATAATATCATCGATATGTATCTCGAGCACACAGATACATATATCTCGACTCTCTCTCTACTCGACGCTAGAGGAGAAAGAGAGAGATGATGTTATTCAATTTTTAATATAATCCGCACGATCCGCAGCCAATCGGCGACGCGACCGGCAGCGTAGCGCGAGTGAGTCACTCCGGAGAGAATTTCATACCTTTTCGCGCTGTTAAAAATTCGATCTTTTTTTTTGTAATATACGCGCGGTTTCACGCTGCTACGCGAAATAACCCATCATCCTATAACTGTACTTGGTCGTCGTGGCCGCGTGAGTCATATCTCCGTATTTTCCATTAGATGCCGATTTTTCTCTCGACGATTGTTATATACAGACTTTTTTTCCGCGCTGCGATTCTCAATAATCAGCCGTGATAAGCTCCGACTTATTTATAAATGTTATACATCCAATCGTTCACCTCTGGTCATCGGGAGTGTGTACATAAAGCGCGAGTCATGTATTCGATACATGCAGCACTGGCAGGCGCGTTGGCGTAGGAAATACAATAATAAAAAAAAAAGGAATTATCGAGCGGAGTTTCGAAACTTTGTACAATAAATTCAGACCCTAGTACAGTGCAAACGTGCGCCGTTATATCTATAAAGAGTGTGAAACTATTTGCCGCATCAGCCCCGGCGATGATGCGCCCCCACGCGTAGCGCCTCGCGCCGCCAGTCAAATAGTTTCCAAATAGTCTCTCGAACGAACACTGTGTGTGTATACATAAACACGCATTGCTCCGATCTATATTCGTCGCTTCTATGTTTTTTTCTTCTCCTCTTCTTCTTTTTTTCTTCTAACGCTGTACAGAAGATAAGCTCGAGCTCTAGGCCACGATCATATAATTACGAATTTGACATTGGCACGTCCAAGATTCGTCAGTAATTTACGGCGTTTTACAAGGCGAGGGGCTATCCGGAGCGATTGGAATTAAAAAACGATCCGCAGTAGCCGTGTGCGTGCGTGGGTGCGCGCGTACTTCAACCGCAGAGTCGATTGGCTCTCTGTCTCTCTGGCGATACTCGAGATCCGATACATATATAGGTGAAAGGTAATCGGTATACCGTATAACGATTTGTAGTATTGGCAAAAATTGCTCGCGAGCCTACTAACACCGATTTGTTGTATAATAAGCGAGCTCGAGCTGTCTGTGTGGCCTGCGAGTATAGGCCGCATGCAATAATGAAAACGCAATCGTTTCTCGTGTACGTGATTCTGCAGACTTTGAAATATACAGGGCTCGTCGACGCCAAGGCATAAGAGGTTTAAAAACCAGTCTAAACATCTTGTGCCTTTGCAGCACGAGCGAATGAAGAGCTCGGGCGCGAGAGAAAGAAAGAAAGAAAGGAAAAAAAAATCAAGTCACTAAAAAGATGTAGTTTTTCGTTCGTTCTCTCTCTCTCTCTCTCGCTCAGCACGCCGTCTCTTCTTAACGCGCGCAATATACATAATAATGAAATCCCGACGTTCTCTGCCGCTGTGCTGCATGCACGCAGGCAATCTCCCGCACTGAAGGCGTGCAGACTGCGTGTGTGTGCGTGTGTTTATAAGTAGTAGTCCCTCGCCTTTTGCGCGCTGGCGTATATATATGTGTAAATGTGTGCTGCTGCTGCTGCTGTGAACTCGCTCGCACACGCACGCAATACGCACGCGAAGAAAACGACTATATACACTTCTACTATACGGCGGAGAAGTGACTCGAGAGCGAGAGAGAAAGAGAGAGAAACGCTTATGAGAGACTGTGCGAGCCCCGTACCGTCGTCTCTCCCGTGTTGTATGTATATACGCGAGCGAGTCAGCGCTCAACTGCCTCCGACGAGGCGGATAGTCTCGCGTCATCCGCGATCGAGTCTCGAACTCTTTCAGACTCGCGCCGATCTTCGATAGTGTCTATACAACGACATCATCATCATCGATACACATTCGTGTGTGAGGTGCATGTGTCAGTGAATCGAGCCCTTTGATCCCTAAATATTGGGGTGTGTGAACGTGTTACTTTTTTTTTATCTTCGAATAAACGAGTGCGCTCCAAGAATGTAGATTCGTCGGAGACCATTCACGAAGCCGCCAGCTTAAACGAGAAAGGACCGGATCGTCTTTAGCTCGGTAAGTTGGAAAATTGGCCTCGAACGAGGACGATCGTCGGAGCTATTCGAAAAGGCCGCGTAGTGACAACAACGATGATCTTCCACGCGCGCGTGTAGCAGTCTTTTTTTCTCCGGTTCATTTTCCAGCGACTGCACTGCCGCGTTCTTGACGATCGTCATTGTTTCCGTTTCACGCGCGAGCCCGTGTTTACTATTACTTTACTATACGCGCGACACTGCAGGTGTGCGAATTTCCATTTTCGATGCACGTATAATAGCCGGCAGGAATTCTTGACAGATCACTCGAGTTCTCTCAACATACTACTTAAAGCATTCCAATTGACGACATTACAAATGTGCAAAATACATTGAGACAAACTGGCTACTGGGGCGCCTTTTAAACTTTTATTATGACACGCTTTAATGCGCCTGATTGAGGCGCATACAACTAGCCGAGATATATGGCACTTCAGGCTGCGCGAACGACGCCGCTCATTTGTTCGCTCGGCCGATCTTTCCCCGAGATTATGTATTTTATTTCTGAAAAAGTAAAAAATGAAAGAAGAAGACGAAGAATCGATAAAGCCTTATACACGTTACACAAATACACGGCGATAAGAAACGAGCGAAAACAGGCGATTGTCTCTCTTTGGCACGACATGTCTTACACTTTTATCGTTTCGATTTCAAATCTGTCGATTCGTACGTACAGCAGGTATATGCGATAGGACGACTTTTGACACGAAGAAAGTCTCTGTCTTGTACAGCACGTATTATTTTTTTATATAGCATAATACGCGGCAGCGATACATAATGCGGAAACGGTAATTAAGTTGGCCCATTGTGTCTCTTCGGCGCTTATTATATTCGCATTCGCAAACCCCTTCTGCCGCGAGAGACAATAAAGATATTTTATACTTATGTATGGCTCGTTACATTATCGCGAGAGCGAGCCATTCTCATTTAAATGTCCGCAGACAACGCACACACACATTCTGTTGCCGTTTTTATCGCGTCTATCACTACACCAACTACATTGTGCTTGCTGCGCTGCTGCATGCGGAGCTATATAGCATCGAAGTACGCGCGCCTCGCGGATTCGTATCTTTAATACTCGACTCGTCGAGCCGGGCGCGCACAGTTGCGTGGGTAAAGTTCCACACGCAGAACACACGACGAAAAATTATTGCGCTTATTTTTTTTCTTCGCAATGACATTTTCGAGACGCGCGGAGTTAAAGTATACTTACGATGCGGTTTCTTCGTCGTTAATAATATCATAGACTCGGCGAGCAGTTGCTGCGCTGTATATCGCACGCGTACTTGAATATTCCATTTAGAACTTTAATAAGCGAGGCGTCGTCGAGTCGGCGTGAATTCTCCGCAAATATGTTCTAGACAATGCTTATATACCTGATACAAGGTTGCGCGTACTTTTCAGGAAGTCGAATTTTTAAAAGCCCCGCTTTCACCTTTCGACCGCGCGTAAGCAATCAAACGAGTGTATAAATTAAATCGCTATCGCTCGCGATTGTATTTTCGTAATCGCACCCGCTCGAAAAGAGGCTTTGAGCCGAAGCAAAAAAATGTCTTCCTCCAGGAGCTCTTGGTTAAAAAAGATCACTGTGGGAAGGAGAGAGATAGAGAGAGAGAGGATGTGCATCTGTATAACGAAGGGCTCTTACGATCCGCGCGAGTTTCGTCTTATTTTTAGAAGACTCGCAAGCGCATTATTAAGTTCCATTAAGCTGCAGTACGCGCGTCTCTTTCTTGCACTTGTATGCGATACGTGCATTTCTCTCTGCCCACTGTATATATATTTTGCCACGCACATTTATTTACGTATATACGACGATGCGCACCGCGCTGTAAAAGTATTTACCAACACCAAGTGGGTTTCCCTTATATACTATAACACATCTTCATCTATATGCATGCGACAGCGAGCTTTGGCACGGCACAACGACGCGTGTAAATATAAAGGCTTTACTTTTTACGGGGCGCGTTTGTTTGTTGTATAGTACTATATAGCGAGCGCGTCACGATGACCCTACTCATGGCAGCAGGCGACTGTATGGCTCTCATCCCCCCGTAGTATATAGCTCATGACACGAGACGCACGTGAGCACGAGCTCGACTGTGAAGTTGGTGCTGTGTATATATTATACGTAGACGACGAGAGCTCCGGTGTAATATGTAAGCCCGCTTGCAGCATGTATGTATACAGTCTGGGCGCTCGAGCCGACAGCTTTTACACGCGACTGCCTGCACACACACATACAATACACACATAACAGGCACACAAGTATGTAACGTATGCGCACGTGAATGCGAGTGCGTGTACGTATTATGTCATGAGACGCGACGATGTAATTAGTCGCGCAATACGTCAAGTCGATATTTGGCCAGCTCGGCGCTTGAGATTATCGATTTTTTGTGCTTTTTTACGCGCGTTATCGCGTGAAAATTTAATCTGAAATTTTGAGCCACGCGTCGCTCGCTCGTATCGATTTCCATTGAATCGTTCGATTTTCTATTCCGTGCAGGGGACCTGTAATACGTAAATTTCCCCGGCTCAAGCTTGTGTATTGATTTTCGATACCTCAGCGCGTCGATCGCGTCACGCGACTTTTCTCATTAAAAGACAATTAAAAAGCTCGAATTAACGATGGTGTATACGTTTGTATCGCAGGTCTGTGCGTGGGAGCATAGCAAAAATATAGCTGAGATAGATAACGTCACAACGATGCACCGAAGCGAGTTCAACATCAGCCTGTCGAACGGCAATCATCCGTTCGCCAATCTGCGGCCGTCGGGTGGGATGACCACGTCGACGACGACGAGCAACAACTCGCTGCCCGGCTCGCCGTCGCAGATACCGGTGCCCAAGTCCTCGGTGCCGGTCAACTCGCGACTGCAGGAGCGCATCGCCAGTCTCAGATCGGTCGGCGGCTCCAACAACAATCTGCATCATCATCATCATCATCATCATAATTTTCAACAGCAGCACCAGCAGCCGCACCAACAAAAACAACAACAACAACAGCAGCTACAGCAGCAAGCTGGTGGTAGAAAATCGATGTCGGTGGCGGCGCAGAGGGCTGCCTTCGAAGAGCTCGACGCCGCCGCTGCTAGTGGGGGTGGTGGTGGCAATGGTAGTAGCAGCGGCATCGCCAGTCCCTCGAGACTTGCCCGTGCCAACAGTTACCAGCAACAGCAGCAGCAGCATTTCGATGCCAACAACAGCGGTATAAACAGCAGCAATAGCCCCGGGGGCCTCAATCACTTTGCTAGTCGCAACAATCATCATCATTTCAACGGTACTTCGGTCGCAGCAGCAGCAGCAGCAGCGCAAGCACCAACACCAGCAGCACTAAATAACAGCCTCAACAGGAGCAATAGCTTCCAGGAGGCCGGAAAGTGGAAGGCGAGGTACGAGGACGCCGAGAGGAAGAGGAAGATGCTTTTGCAAAAGAGCGAGGCTGGTGAGTACTAAAAAAATACTAAATCCATTCCTAAGACCGAATGTATATTATACGATTGAAACGCGTGTATAGAAGCGATACCTCCCCTGGCAACGCGACGCGCCGCGTGGCCTTTCTTTATATTCGAGCCTGGGCAGAGGGTAAACGCGAGTATAAAAGGAGTTTACGAATTATAAAAAAGGATAGTCGAGCTGCGTAAGGGTATAGGCTGCAAGTGCGTGAAAAAGAAACTCGGTTTTGATATATAGGTCGAGGGCTTTCAGCCGGGGATGCGGCGAATGGTATATTACGTACATTATAACGCGAGACTCCTCTTTCATTCGAGGCGACGCTCTTTTGAATTCGACTATAGGCGGCTTCCTATATATATACGCCGGAGCAGCTATTTACGTGGGTGCGTTTGAATTCAGCTGGGACTCGGGATTAATCATTTACATTTTCGCAGAAAAGTAGATTGAATCAACGTCGTCACCCTTTTACCCAGCTGTATTATAAATCCGAGATATCCAAGGGTTGATAATGCCTGCTTCTCTCTCTCTCAATCGGGGTAGGAGGAGGAGGAGGAGGAGAAAACAATGCGATAAGAAAATAGGCTTACGCGCGAATAATCGCTTATACGAGTTCGCTTTTTTCTAGATTACGGCGCGATCGAGAGAAAGAGAGAGAGAAAACTTTCGCATTCGATAGCGCCGCGCTGAGCAGTGAATCACAATAAAGCGAAGCTTAAATACATTTTCATGTCATCGCGCCGTGTAGCAATAGTAATAGCAACAGTGCAGGCAACGGTCGAGAGAGATGATATGCCTTTTCTATTTGTAAAAAAATTCATCGGAAAAACGTAACTGCCGCTGCTGCCGTTGATAGTTCAAGGTTCGCGCCACATAACTTGTGTGCCACTACTATGTGCGTGTGTTCGTAGGTATATATAATATATTACGCGCCGCGAATTCGCATGAGTCACGTGATTCGAATGCAGAGTGGATTCTTAGTCATCCTCCACCTCCTCCTCGGACGATCGGGGCCGCGATGCGCTTCTCGAATACATGCGTAATATATATATTGCTTATGTCGCTTCACACTCGCTTTATATGCGTATATTTTAATGAGATTACGTGCGCCAAGCGCCTTTTTTGCCGCTTTCGCTGTTTTCTGGCATTTTTCTTCTCTTGCATCTCCGCGCTCGTTCGACTATCGCGAGTTTCGATCTTCGAATTCGGAGCGATTCCGAAAAATTCGTTCGAGTGGCGGCGAGTGACGAATTTCGATCGTCCGAGAGAAGAGCATCGTGAATTTATGATTAAGCATATATTATAACGAACCCATTGTCGCGCGCGAGGAATGAATCATGTTGAAAATTGGATGATTAATTTTTTGTCCCTAAACGACCGAGTCACTTATATTTCTTTTTCGTTGTTGTTTTGCAATTACAGTGAGCAGAGAGAACGCGAATCTCGAAAGAAAGTACCAGCAGCTACTCAAGCAGAATGGCACGTTGCAGAGCCAGATGCAGGAGAAGACCGAGAAGCTGGAAAAAATGCGGACAGGTAATATAACGTGAATCTCAATTTGCTTTATGAATATTATATATCTATACTGCATTACGTGCTGACCCGCGACCCTTTCGACCCTGACCTTGTTACGTGTTCAACGACTCGTGAGGATCCATCGACTCGTCGATATCTCCTCGAGAGTTTTTCGATCGTTTCCATGCACAATGCTATACGAGAATTGGTATATCGTTTCTAAAATGTGTATGTGTGTGTGTTTTTTTGTTTTCTCTATCCACAGTGTCCGAGGCTGTGTGCAAGGAGTACGAGCAGCTCAAACGGCAGTATCAAGTCGAAACGGGAGCAATGCACAAGGCCATGCAGCAAGCGTCTCAAGTAGGCACTCGTTCCATCTCGCTTAGATGACTTTTTTTTCGTTCTTGCGCTTGCTTAATTAACTCTCTCTCTCTCTCTCTTTCGCCGGGGCGCGCGAAACCGCTGCCCGGCACTATACACGCGAGAGTATAGTGCGCACCTCGGTGACTGAAATGAAAAAGAAAAAATAATAACGAATAAAACTTGCTTTTTTTCAGTGGTACAGGCAGAATCGCGAGCTAAAGAGGCGCTCGCAGGTGATAACGCAAAAGTACCTGCTATCGAATCCCAATGCTCTGGACGCGGACGAGTTGCCGGACGAGGTCGACAATCAGTCCGACGACATAGACCAGCTGCGCGAAACCGTCACAGGCGAGTGTTTTCCCTATCCCCGTTCGCATTCATATATTTATTTTCAAGGCTCGATCGAACAATCGATACTAACGTGCTCAAATGGTTTTTTTGTTATTTCGATACTGCGCTATTGTAGAATTGAGTCAAGAAGTAGCCAAGTTGCAAACGGAATTGAACTCGGCTAGGCTTCAAGAGTTCGAGGCGCAGGAACAAGTGACTCTGCTCACGGCTCAACTGGACGAAGAAAAACAAGCGAGACAAAATGGTAAGTACCTATTCGTCAATTGGAAAAGTTTTACAATTTTGCATAATCGTACAATGTTGAAAATTTAGCTATTGTTCGTGTCGAGAAAAAACCGTTTTTTTTATTGATTATGTTGTATTGAAATTGTTGTTAAAATTCAACTTATACATGAATATAGTTTTTCAATAATCGTTTTTGTTTTATTTATAAGACCTTACATGTATTAGTTACATCAGGCTGAAATGAAAAAATATGTAGATGCTTTTTATAGACTTTTTTGATAAATCAATAGTAAACTTGTTAATTCATTTACATGCATGTAAACTTAAACAAACAAATTTTTTTGTCTATAGATGAGGAAAAGATGAAGGAATTAAGACTGCAAAAGGAAAATATCGAAAGAGTGACAAAGATGGTTGCGGATGAGGTGCAAACTCTCAAGGCCCAGTGCGATCGCGAGCGTGAGAACGCAAGATTAGCGAAAATCGAATCAGATCGAGTAAGTCAAACTATTTGTAAATTATACTGATGAATTTTAGCTAACTCGTATATTATGTTGAATGCAGATCCAGAAAGAGCGAAACGTTTTGGCGCATCAATCGGCTCTGCTCATGATGGACGTAGGCGACGATCCGTCCGGTCGCTTGCTCGCCGTCCTGCAAGAGGTCGAGACCTTGAAGCGATCGCTCGAGGAGGAGAAGCAGAACAACGCCGCGCTCATTCAGCAGCTGCAGGATCGCCTCGAGGAGAAGGAATCCAGCGTCGAGTTCGAGATCGTCGAGGAAAAGCTGAAACTGGCCGAGTCGGAGCTCGAGCTGATCGTCGAGCGGGCCGAGAGAGCCGAGCGCCAGGTCGAGACGCTCCAAGGCCAACTGCACGAGCTCGAGGCGAAACTCGAGGAAAAGTCCAAGGCACCGCCGCCTCCACCTCCGATGTTGCCTCCGCCACCTCCGCCACCACCGCCACCGCCACCACCGATGATGATGATGCCGCCGCCGCCTCCTCCCATAGGCAACGGCTCGTCCTCGATCAAACTCATCACGAGGGAGAGGCTGCAGAACGTGGCCGAGCACAAGGACGAATCGGCCGTCAACGACATGGAGAGTATGCTCGGCATCGCTCGGAAACAGGCTCCGGCCGCTCAGCAGCCTGCCATTGACGACATCATCAATCAAATCAAGGGAGGACGCTTCACCTTAAAGCAAACGGACGTAAGGCTCGAATTTACATTTACTATTTTAATTCAAATCGTTTGCTGTACTAATTAAATTCTTTCTTTGTGTATAAACAGAAGCAGAGGGAGGAAGAGAGAAAAAGAAAGCAAGAGACGGAAAGCAAGCCACCGGCATTATCCGAAATGTTGAATATTTTAGGGACCATGCGACGAAGGGCCAAGCCCACAAGGACCTCGTTCAAATTCGCTAACGGACCCTCGTGATGGAATTCAGTGATCATTATTAGCTGTAAGCTCGTGTAAATTATGTTTTAATATTATATCAAACTAAGCTATCAATACAGACAAAAAAACTTTAATTTTTAAGAAACTGCCATCCTTTATATGAAGTTACGAACTTGAGGTTTTACTCTTTGTATAAATGATAATACTGTGAATGATTGTTCCCGTTATTAACATTCAAATGTTTTTAGAGTTATTTTGTATGATAATTTATATTACTTGTATAGACACGTAGAATAAAACGTTTATAAAATGTTAGCAGTGTTTAGAAATAAAAATTAAAGATATATAGTTCAATAATTGTTATACAATTTATTAAAAAGATAAAAAAAAATGTGTTGACATTTCATTCTTTACTGGCGTTATCAACTTTACCAAAGATGTCATGAACACTTTTACATTTTATACATGTAAAAATGTATTTTATGCACACAATCAGTACTATATAAATCAATTTTTCATAATTAATTAATTACATTTGCCCTGGGTCTTTTCGTTTTATTCCGATCTAAAGCAGTAATATACTATATTAATAATATACTATATTACTTTATTAACACTTTGAACTTTGTTTTTTGATTTTGGCAACTATTTGTGGTAGTTTTTCTGCCTCGAATATTAGTACTTTTCTGGTTGGTGTCATTTCGCAATCGTCTTCTTCCCATTCTCCCGTTAGACCATTATCTGAATCTTTCTGAACGCTGAATTCAAAACTGTAAAGTGCATCGTCCAAAAAGTATTCTTCTTCTGGATTGCTCCAAATAATGGTTTCCATGTCCTTATTTTTATTTTTCATTTTCTTAGTCAAGGTTGCCTCGTCCACTTTGTATAATTTACAAATAAATACGTAATATTTAAATTTGTAAGAAGGATTTTTGCTTGCTGCTCTGCTTAATTCTGAGAGAAGATTTTCAAGTAGGGGAATTGAAATGAGTAATGGAATGTTAACAAATCGCTCATTGATCAATAATCCCATTGGTCCATCGCCTTCTTCCAGAACTTGGTTTACAAATTTTTTGACATAATCTGGGGCATGTTCATCGGACATTTGTTTTAACAAAGTTCTTAAATCTTTAATACATTGTTCCTCCTGGAAATAAACAAAAATTTAAAATGAATAATTGTTGCAATGCATTTTTACCAACTAAATAAATGATAAAATATTTACCCTTCTGTCCGAAATATTAACAACAGTAGTGACTCCAAAAATATTAACTTCATCATCATCGTCATCATCTTCCATCACATCATCCATTGACTGAGTAACAACAGAGCCAATGAAATTTTGACTGATTATGTAGTTGGTCAATCCACTAAGGTCTATATGAGCCTTCAAGAAAAGTTGTTGAAGTAAATTTTTTATTCCATGAAAATCGGAGTCAATAGGATTTCTGCCTTCGAAATCAACCATCACTTCTCCTTCTTCATTTTCATCCTGAAATTATAAATTTTTTAATAATTTTAAACACGTAGTTAAAATTGTAATTTAATTAATGTTTAACATTTGATAAGCTATTCTAGTTTCAGCCTGTATGAATGGCAACCAGCTATACAGCTGTCATATATCACGAGTAACCAAAAACTCTGTGCTTCAAATGTGTCAATTTCACATGCAAAAAAGGTATTAAAAGTTTCATATAGTCTGAATAGTCTAGATATTCGTGGAAACTTTGTGACATGAAGTTTTATCTACTCTAAGATTTCCATTAAAATGTTTTAAATTTATATGCTTATAAGTTTATACTTCATATAAGCTCAAGCACGTGTTTCAAGCCAAACTTGAACCGGTTAAGAGTGAAAATAAGTTTTAATAGCAATTTATAGGTACAGTAAATAAAACGGTGAATTCACAATAAGAGTGTGAAAACATACCTCATCTTCAATATCCTCAGCTTCCATTTCCGCATTTTCCGAAAGTTCCGAAGAGCTATCGGAATCTTCTTCGTAATCAATTTCACGCCTCTTTGGTGCAGACATTTTGATTTACGTACTATACTTTTTGATAATGAAGTTAGCACTGAAGGTTCACGAAGATCACTAAGATCACTGATAGAGTATAGACGAAATACAGTTGCCGGCACGTGCGGTGAGGATAGCAAGTGACTGACGTCGATTGTAGTTTGGGTTAAACAAGTAACAATGCGGAGAATGTGTGCAATGTGCATGTGCTCAGTGTTGTGTAAAGCTGAATACGCATGCCAGTTTCAACTTCTGACCGACAGATGGTAGTTATACGAAAATTGGCGCGGTTTATTTAAACACAGAAGACAGAGCTGTTGTTTACATATTCATTAAAATTTATTTGATATTCAATACTATAAAAAGTCCAAGTTTGAAATGGAAGAGATTTGAATGATGTAATAATGTAAGAACTCACGCCAGCTAAGTCAATTTGATTTTTATTCTTAAATCAATTTTAAAACGTAGAAATTGAGAGAAAAATATTTTCTCTTATCTACTGATTAAAATTACAGATATTATATATTATTACAATACTATTGCATTATTATTACAAAATTACTACAATAAATATTATTGCAGTATTATTACAACATTCACGTATCAGTGTTTGCCACTAACATTTGATATAATGGCTTGCAAAAATGTCTTGTGACCTTCACGATCCATGTTGGTTTCGATCCAAGACCTGTGATGGTAAACGTCCGAGAGCAATTGCGGATAATCGTAACTGTCACCGCAAAAGTGAACAGCACTCGAAACTCCAACGAGACGTCCGTTATGTACATTGGAGCTACCGGAATCGCCCTGTGAAAATCGGAAAATCGTTAACAACGCGTTGATTAAATCGATGAATGTTAAAAAAAAATTTTTTTTGTTCAAAGTGAATTACTTACGTTACATAATCCTTTGTGATCCTCGGAGTGATCGCCTTTATTCTGACCGGCTACGCAAATGAGATCCTCAGGAATTGTGATGTTCAAACGCGACCATTTTTTATTGCATACATCCCTATCTACCACCATCAGCTTAACTTCGTTCAAATGACGTTGTGCAGCGTTTTTGTCCTGGAAAAAGTATATTTTATTTTGAGAAACTTTTCTTTCAAAGTGTACCTAGGATTATCCAGAACAAAATTATTAATTAATACGAAAATATGTTCTACCTCTAAAGTGAAGCCCCATCCGGTAGATGTGATCAAAGAACCAGCTTTTGGTGTTTCGGTCGACAACTGAATCGGTTGAACTTTATCGTTGAATTCGATTGGCTTGTCTACTCGGATCAAACCAACGTCATTAGTGGCTACTGTAAATTTTTCCCCGACCTAAAATTAAAACAAATGCTTATAAAACCATGAGGTTCCTGGATCGTCATGACGATACAATATTGTACTCACATGGTCATAGTGCTCGTGCATCCTGAAGTCTTGAACTTTGTAAACGGCCATCGCTTCCGGTTCATCTCGATTAGTAACTCCTGCCACGACTTCCATGTCGAGTTTGGTAGAGTTGCTGCAATCAACAGAAAAGATTTTCGTTTAAAGTTTGTTCTATATGCACTTGTGCGGGAAACAGTTTTTTTAAAAACTTACATAATTGCTCTACTAATGCAATGAGCAGCTGTGAGCAAAATTCTGTCACTGATAATTGTCGCGCCGCAAAATAATTCATCTTCGTTGCCTCTGAACGACGCCGATCTCAAGTAAGCTTGATAAGGGTAGGCACCGACTTTCGCTTTATCGCCATCGGTTATTCTCAATTTTCCTAGATCGATCAATTTCGAAATATTTTTTTAGATTTTCAAGTTAATTTTATGATGAACTAGGATAACATAGATTTTTTGTACGTTTAGTTACCTGCAGTTGTGATACTGATGATTGAAAATATCAAAATTGCTGCTTGCAGTACCTTCATTATGAATCTTATGAGAGAGTTCAATGAATAGAGATTTGATGACAGTTTGAGATTACGAGGAGTAAACGAAAATTCGTATTATTTATACTTTTTCATATCTGGTATTGCGATATATTAAAATGTTCCCCCATTTGAGATTTTTAGCAAAATTCTAAACAAAATTGCAAAATCATGCACATGAATGTAAACTTTATAATTGTCACGTTCGTCAATTGCCATCGTAAAAGCGGCTTCGATGTTTAATTGATTGCGATTACTGCACCTGTTCTTTTGTAATTCATGTAACTAATTATGAGATTTGGAGTAAACTTCGGAAAAAAAGCATTTCATACACTCTGGTAAGTAGATAAAATAAGCAAATATATTTAATAAACTGATTTACTCATAGGTCAATAGCACATACGCTAAGTGTTATTCAATAAATATGATTGTAATTGTGATTAAGTATAATACTCGAAAGAACACAAAAAAATGTCATAACTTACAAATTTTTTCTAGTATTTCATTATCATTCCTTTTATAAGTCGTATATTTTTATGATAGAAAGTAATAAATATTGAAATTATGACATAATAAAGGTGCAGTTGCTTTGAGCAATTTCCATATAAATCCATCGTCAGCTCGGAATGGAACATTTTAAAAAACTTTTCGCTCCATTTACTCCATAATAGTAAATATAATAAAAGTTAAAATGAATATAAAATCAAAACAAAACGATTTAATGTGATTCAAATCATAAGTATTCCTATCAAATATTATTATTCTTTAAATACATAACAATCATTTGGAAGCAATAATCAAATATCTTTTCATCAAATTTTTTTATTACTGTACTCAGAAGTAACAATCAATGAATATTCAGGTAATAAAATTTTTTATTCAAAAATTTAAATTTTAGAAAGATTAAAAAGTGTTCAAAAGTGTACAAGATGTAAATTTTACCATGGTTTAAATTACTTTATTACTAAATGATTTTTTTATCATTTTCTTCAGTGACCTTTGTATCATAATTAATCAACCTTGAAAATCTATATTCAGTATGGTATTTCTTATTTAAAAAGTTGCGGTATTTATCTATTTCAATTTTAGTCTTTTATTTCAACTCATTTTTAAAAATGATACAAAATGATTTGCTTTGACCAAATAATATTTCAAATTTAATCTATATCATAGATGTCAAGTTATAGTTGAGCCTATCATAAATAGTAAAGTTATTGAAGTAAGTTAATTTTGGTACTTATGTAAACATAAAGAAACTCGTTAACTATGTTTTTGACTTAAATTTTTATTATAAATAATTAAAAATATGTACATTCTAAAACAGTAATCATATTTTGATTTAAAGAAAAGTAAAACAATTCACAGAAAGAATTAGAATCTACTCCTTTTGCGACCAGTATACTTTGAATCAGCCTTGACTTCTTTATTTTTGTTGCGGAATCTGTCTTTCTTCTTCATAATCCAATCTCGTCTGGTACCTCGCAGAGGATCTTTTTTACCATTTTTATTCTTCATATTTTTTCCAACCGTACATCTGTTTTGTTGAGCAAGTGAATCCACTGGAACAGTAGTTACTCCACCTGTCATTAAAACAAGAAAGACTTTTCTTGCTTTTTTACTGTTTGGAAAATCAATCATTCTTCCACCAGAAAATCCAGCTTTGCATGCGGCACTTTCTAACAGATTCAATTGGTCATCATTTTCTGGATAGAATTGAAAAACAGCTCTAGCGCCATTTTTTAGACAAGCAAAAAGTGAAGAAAAAAATACATCCAACCTTTTTCTCAGACCGTGTCTACTGTTATCTAAATTGCACAGCCACTGTAGAGCAGATATACTAACAACACCATCAAATTGTCCTGCTCTGAACGGTAAACCTTGGCCCATATCTGATAAAATAACATCACCTTCCACTTCTCTTTTCTTTGCAATATCTAACATAGCTCTGGAAATGTCAATTCCAATCCAAGTGTGACCATGTTCTTCAAGAACTTCACCACTCAGTCCTGAGCCACAACCAATGTCTAATAACAGACATGACTCGTTCTCCGGCAATAGTAACAATTCTAGGGCACGTTCACACATTTTTGTTTGGATTTCAATAATTCTAGAATTGCAGGTATATTTTCTTGCTTCATCCTCGTTATAGAAAATGTCTGGTGGTGCTAAATGCTCTGGTCTCGACATGATTACTGATTTAATCTAATTCACTTTAGTTAGGTTTAATTTATGATTGACAATTGATAATATGACAAACAACTCTGAGCACGAGTGAAAAGTTTAGCCTTTCTAGCAGCACGTGTTAGACGATCGACACATGATGCGGGCCGGGGCATGCGGCTCTATGTGCAATGTGCATACTGCATGATGCGAGCCAACATGCGCAGCCAACTTAAAATTGTGAGCGGGAGATTTAAAAATCATATCTCATAGCTATCTTTTGTTTTTGAACATGATAATTTTTCGAAATCTAAAATACTTGTAGTCGCGATCGCTGTAAATAGGTACTTTCAATAATTTTAAACGAAGCTTGTGAAAGGTAAATATTTTTTGTCTGTAGAAGAAGTAAAAAACTTCACTAGTATTATCCATGTACGATAGATGTCGTAGTAAATTCATTGTTGGAGTAGACATTTTAGATAGGCTTCTTTTTTGTTTTCTGTACAACGAACGTCAAATTAAATGTCGATTCTGCATGTAAGTCAATAAATTTTAACGTACGTTACAAAAATTATGTCATATGTTACCACTGCAGTTTGTTGAATTAAAAAAATCTCGTGCAGTGTCAATTAGATAGCGGTCTGTCCCCGCCATCTTTATACCAGACCTTAGGTGCTTTTAGTTATGTACAGCAATTACCAACCGTCAAGTTGAGTTTACATTCGGCGATTTCGGTTGACTGATGAATTTAGTGTCACAGAGATAATAACAAACAAAAAAAAATTGAAAATGTCCAAAACACGAGAACGCTGTGGTGTACCTGGATGCAGTAGTCGTGGAAATGATTACAATGATATTAGTTTTCACTCGTTTCCACTGCCCAATCAACACCAAATTACAAGTAAATATTTTTCTGGCCCAATAGACAAATATGAAGCATGGAAACAATGTTTACGGGTATCAGAAATCAAGCCACCAAAAATGAAAGTATGTTCATTACATTTTAAAAAAGAAGACTATATATTACCTGGTAAGGATAAATTTCAATCTATGCAAACTTTCAGTCAAGTTTATAAATAAAAATACATTCTAAATATTTAATTCTAGATATGCCAACCTTGCGGAAAAGGTTATACAAAAATGCTGTTCCATCATTAAATTTGCCTCATAACTTAGAATTAAAGACAGTACCAAAGAAAAAAACAATTCAGATGCATAGTTTTGATCACACATATACAACTGCTGCTCCAAGTGTTGTAGAAAAACAACCAGGTTTCATTTTTCCACCATTTGAATTTATCAAAATAGAAGGTAATTATCTTAAACACAAAGACGATGATGAGGTTGATTTCCTGAAAGACCCTGTAAAGGCTCTTATGAACAAAAGTTCAAAAACTCCGATTTATATGTTTAGTGATGCTTTAACAACTGATGCAAAATTATGCCATGCTACTGGAATTTCTAGACTAGAAATTTTAGATGCTATTGTTAGTAAAGTTCAAAAGTTGTGTGGTGATACATTTGAATCTAGAAAAATAAAAACTAAAGAAAGGATCATTTTAACATACACTAAACTTAGGCATAATTTGTCATATAGATTATTGGCACTTATGTTTTCATGTGTATCAGATACATCTTGTAAAAAAATTTTCCTTGACACAATAGGAATTCTAAACAGGTGCTTGGTTAAGCCATCACAGCAGGGCCAAGAAACACATAAAGTTTTACCATCAATTCAGTCAGATGTAATAAATACAGAAAATTCAGAAAAAAGTGTCAAACTTGATAATAAACGTATTATGACTTGGTCCATAGTAAAAGATAAAATGTCAGCATCCGTGCAAACTAAAGCTGATGAAATTTGTAATGTACTCAATGCAACAGTCGATCTTAATTCATCTATATCACATAAAACTGGTTCATAAACACTGTCTGAAATCAATTAAATCAAAATAGTTATTTATGAATGTTATATATTTGTAAAAATATTTTTTAAGAAGCAGCTGTAAATATCTAATTATAATAATTTGTAGGATTTCATAATAAATTATATAAGAAATTAATAATTTCCATTTGTGTTTCTAATCTTTGAATAGTTTTCAAAAAATTGAATTAAAATCAAATTATTATTGGAGATAAAGTAGTTTTTCAAAATCAATAATTGAGTAAGAATGCTGGATCAATTTCTACTTTACTAACAGTAGTTCACACATAGGTATTAGCTTTATCCACGTATGCTCTATTTCATTTGTATCATCTTTTGGTTCACAAACAATGTTGTGATTATAAATTATATCTTAAATAATATGACAAAAGTTTTTACACAAATCTTTAATTATTCATTCAGAATATATTTAAGTTAGATGATTACACAAAAATACATTTAGTTAAAAAAATATATTGACACACTGATACAGGAGCTTTGTTGATATTTTATTAGCGATTATTGATAATTTGATAAATAATGTAAATTCCCGGAACTCTTGGACTTAGAATTAATTATCTTCATTGAAACTTTATCAATCTTGAAAAATTATAAAGTTATCTACTAGAAGTTTTTGAGCTAAGAAACCTTGCAACATGCTATTATTTTTTTTAAAATTGCATACCAAGCAATTGAAGTGATTCAATCGAAAACAAAATAATTTAAAACTTCAAATATGAATTCAGACGTGGCTCTAGTTTATTAATAAAGTTGAAGCTAGAGATATTATGTGATACAGTAATTCTAGTAGCTTTATTTAATCTTCAATAGTTTGAATATTTAGGGCGCCAATCATACAATAGTGACGCTACACAAATTACTTTACAAATATCACATGCAACTCCTCCACGGCTATATAGTGTATTGAGCATAAATATAATAACTACTTTCGACGGAGTGGGTACGGGTTGGGAACACGAACGAGAGCTAGCCGAACTTTTGAGCACAATAATTACAACTACCGCGGCGGGAAGAAAATCGACGAAATCGATCGACGAAATTACACCCTTCCGGGCTTGTGATTGGCTGATGTTATAGACAGTGGCATAAGCAGCGCAGTAAGTGCAAGATAGCTGCGTACTTGGCGACAGATTTAAAATCAAATTTCAAGTATATTAAGCACAATGTGATAACATAGGGTTTTTTAAATTGAGGTCAGGCGATTTAATTACAGAATAATATTTAATATTTTCATGAAAAAATAATTAGTATTTCTTATTTAAATATACCTATTATAAGCGTTAAATAAATACATGGAAATAATCGTTTGTAATGCGAAAACTAATCCCTACGTTTCGCCGGTGATGACGCAATTGGTATCTAAGTGCTACGCCTTTTCACAGGTGCGAAGGATATATCCTCAAGTTTAAGCTGTCGGTATATCACCGACATAAGCCCGTCGAGATTCACTCGAGTATAAGCGAGGATCATCGAGCGGATTTTTAAAAATTACGCAAGGGGTGCAAAAGTCAATCTCATTTAGGCGCCGTCGAAGTTACGCAATAATAATTAGTATACTTATAATCTTTATACAAAGCAAAAGCGAGGAATTTTTCGTGTTCCGGGCGCCACAGTCGTAGAGCCGGATAATCAAATTTCCAAACGTGTACAGGTGTGCGATGATGGTCATTTTATCACTCGCTACTACGAAATGCCAGTCGGAATTCGATGATTGTTATACGCGCTCGCAGGTGCAATGTTTGCGTATGCTGATTTTTCCGAGAAATCTCTCGAGCGAGATAATTTTCTCTCCGTTATATATGAAAGTTTTGATAAAGCCAGCTCACTTTGTTTACAATACTTTTACGGTTTAACTAAAAGAAAGTTAGAAAAATGTCTCTTTATTATCACTGCGCGCCGTTGCGCAACGCGCGATTACGATCGTCGCGCGGACGCGCAAGCTCGAAAGTATGCAGGTATAAATATTATTATATCTCCGCGCGGTAGGATGAATTTGAAGCAGGATATCCTGTGGCTAAAACCAAAGAAAAAAAAACGTACGAGCGAACGCCAAATTTCATATATTGATTTACGAATGGCGCAAACAAAAAAAAAAAGGAGCAAAAAAAAAATCACCTTGTCTCTCTTTTGTCGTCGACATGCAGCTGACACTAATTCCTTTATCTCGTCGAAGAGTACCTACATACACACATATATACTCGCAGAATAAACGTATATTTCCACACACATATCGGTCCGTCCGCGCCTCTTGTATTTACACTCCACTTGCGTTTGGCGGGACCACGTATTATTGCCTTGCAATGTAATATACGTGTATAATGTACGAGAGAGAGGAGAACGGGTCACGTTTTTCCCTGCACACGAGTCAAAAACATTTTTTTTCTTTGCTTTTTTGGCAAATATTGATCGTAACTCTTGAATTTTTCCCCCCTTTTCGTGTATCGCGTTTCCGCCGATTTGCAAGAGGACTCGATTATATACCTCGACAATTGCCCGACGACGGCTTTAAACTTTGCATAATACTTACGTGGATATCATATGATACATCGATCTCCGAGTGTTAATTGTTTATTTATGATTTCGTTCTGGATAGCCGAGGAAATAAATCGGTCGCAAACGTGTTACTTCTTTCCTCTGACTCCTCTTATTCATCCGCCGTCGAAGCGTGACGAAAGACGCGGACGGGTGACGACGATGCCTGTTCCCACGAAGCAGCAGCAGCCTCGAACGTCCGAAAGCTTTTTAAAACACAGAGAAAGAGTGTCGAGAAGCGTGCGCGAGCGCTTAGATTAAGCAATCAAAGAGACGATGTCATTTTTGATAGCGATGCTAATGCGCCTCGAACGCGCGTATATACATTTATATTAACGTGTAGTAGTAGTAGTGGCCTTTGTATAAAATCGCGCGTGCAATATACGAATGTATCATCGCACATAGATATATAGCAGGTATATACGATTCGTCGTTAAACGCTAATCTTTTTTCGCTGTTTTAACGACGAGAGGAAAAAAACGGCCGTCATTCAGCGAGGCAAGAGGAAGAGATCGTCTGTCGGCGAATTCGACATTTTTCGGACAGCAGTTTCGCGTCTTGTAGATCAGCTAATACGAGTGTTTGCATATTATAATTCCTCGGATCGCGCCTTCTATACACATTTCGTATGCGTCGTTAATCGCTCGGAGCCAACTTTTTTTTTTAGAGCCGCCTCGAGAGTAAGCAATCAATTATCGCGGCTATTATATGTATTATTTTTAGTTATAACATTATAAATATAGCCAAGTGACGTTATTTATAAAATCATTAAGCGAATGAAGAAAAAATAAAGGAGGTTTTTTCCGCAATTTACCCAATCGGTTAGGCGCACGGAAGGAGCTGTAATTACGCGTGTGCAGACGCGCGGCGCATAATGTAATAATGCTGCTTATAGACGCGCGAGCGCAAACGAGAAAAGTAACGGTGGATACAATCGTTCATTAGGCGCGCCGCGCTTTTGCCCGATACTCGTGAACTTTTGCTCGATAATGATAAATAAATCACAAATGTTGTGTGCGCGTAGCTCCGCAACGCATATTATAATTGAAAATAATTTATTCATTATATATATACGCGCAGCTCGGATCGAAAATCCTTTTTCCAGCCGAGCAAGTTTCTTCCGGTTTATCGTCGCGATCTGCGCGGGCAAATTTTTCGCAAAACTCTCCTATGTATATACAACAGTGGCTCGATGATACTTGGTGCGTGCAATATAACGAAGACGTCTTTCGAAAAGTGACGCTGCTGCTGCTGCTGCTGGCGATCTTCTCTTTTGACTGATGCGGCGAATCGCAAATATATATTATACGAGATGTGTGTGTGTATTTGCCTTGGGACGGCCAATGATGCGTGATACGCGGCGATAATCCGATTTATAGCGAGCTCTCCTTCGCGCATATATGCGGCGGCGATCGGATCGATATATATAATATGTATTAATAAAGCCGGAGCCCCTCGTCAGCCCGACGAAGATACAGGCAAAAAAAAAATTATCCTTTATAGCTGCAAAAATAATGTAAAGTGCCATGTGCATGTAGAGATAATCTGGCTCCTTCGTCTCGGAGGATCGCACGATTCCCCGATCGGTATAGCATAATCGGATTTTCGGAGATGTGTCGTCGTCGTCGTCGTCGTCGTCGACATTGGGGCCCCGGCTCAGTGTTATATTGGTTAAGATTCGTGTATCTCGTAATGATCTTAGCTCGACGATAGCGCCGGGATCATTTAGTCAGTCTAGTCATTCGTGTCAAGTATTAAATAGGGAATGTATATAGCGTGTATAGGAAAGCGTCCGTCTTTTGTCGCGACTCGCGTGACGCGTGCGACCACATTATAAGCTTTATGTGCCATAAAGTGTATAATATAGCCACGAGAGAAAAAAAAGAAGTGCGCGTATATCAATTTATTTCGATGATTGTCGATTTATTGCGCGTAATTCGATGGTTTTACGAGGCCTGAGATATCGATCGCGAAGGCCTCGGCGCAGCTCGCTCGATTCACGATCTTCGCGTTGTTCATTATTGTTATTATTATATATATAGCCGAGGCAGCTATCGGCCAGCAGGGCATTATTGCGATGAACGCACTAATCCGCGATGGCGCGCAAACATACACACACACACACACACGAGGTATAATAAAAAAAAAATCCTCTAACGAACTGTAGATGGATAGAGATACGGCGTGCGAGTATTATGTGCCCATCGAGTGATTTACAAGCATCTCGAAAGAGCGAGAGATTGGCTCGTCAATGTCGGGCGCGATCCACCTCGACAATGAGACACTTAGGCGCGAGCTTCTCACATATATATATATTCGGGCATTGTCTGTCGAGCAGCAGCGTCATCCTACTCACACGCGCAACATTAGTTATGGTATGTATTATGATGGGGCCAAGGCGCCACAATATATATTTAATATTATGATAATAATAAGGCAGCTAATGCATTATACAACGAGCAGCGAGAAAGGGATTTCACGCGCGCACACTTGCGTCCGATCAAATTAACAACTTTTCGAC